TTACAGCATCAGGGCATATTACATATAATATTTAATCATGGCCATCATTTCTACTGTGCCAAAATCATTCAACCAATTTTAAAATGGAATACGAGAACAAGATTTCTTATTTTAGGTTATATTCATATGTCTAATAATATTTGATATTAAACATATTAACTTTTATTGTTTTTATACACTAAACAGATTTGTTTAGATATTATTTTAAGTTTTAACATAACAAACCACTTTCCAGGTCGAAGGAATCATTAAAGGTACAGCATTTCAGAAATGTGTAAATTGTTTATATTTCATTATTTTGTGAAATACTAAAAGGAGTTTTACCCGTACCTTGTTGACCATGAGTCAATGAATGCATTATGTAATATCTGCAAAATGATGCACTATGCAATTCATACATGGAATAATTTATGTTGCCATATTGGAATTAAGTATTTTCGTTAATCCATTGGAAAGATCATGCATTACCTGATGTTGATAATAGAATCAGTTAGTCAATTGTAAGACACCATTTATCCGAGAAAATCTTAGTTATGTATTAAGGCAGGGCATAACATTTCACATATCGTTTATTCATGTTTACTACATCTATGGTTCCCAATGTCATTTAAGCCTGATTTGGTGCAAATGTCAAAGCATAACATCAACTCTAAAGTAGTTTAATTCAATGAAAATTAAAAATATCAAAATCGACAATTACTGTCCGCCATCTTAGATGCGAAGGTTACGGCCGTTACCTTCACTTGGTACTGATCAGTGTCAGTCCATTACTTTTCAATTGCATAAATTGGCTCTAACCCTGACAAATGTATTAATCAATTTAAACTCATAGCTCTTGATCAATGAAACTATTTATATTCTAGCTTCAAGTCAATGAATACGACTTTGACAAGCTAAAAAGACTAAGGACCTCTAGGACTTAAAAGTTAATTTGACCATTAATGACCTATGATAGGGAAGGGTCATGATAACACTTATATAAAATATTTTAAGTATCTAATAATGATAATGAACATACTACAATGTTACACAATGTTAGTAGATGCTAATTAAATGTCAATTGTTGTTAGTGTAATAAGTACTTTTCATTTAATGCTGCAACAATTACACAAGTACCAAAAAGTGCCACGCCCACTTTTCCCTAAAAGCAGTTGTGTGTGACTACATTTGATAAATATTATTAATTTATGAGATCATTATATCAAGTTTTTAGTGCTTTAGTGTGAATACATACATATTAATTCAACTTTTGACAAAGTTGCAGCCACAAAATCCAAACAGATTTGCAAATATTTCACTTTGAGAACTTAAGGACACATTTGGGAAGGGGTCAAATTGAGAAGATTGTGAGATATAAATACTGTTTCCATGGTAACCATATAAGTCAGAGATTGGAAATTTCTGGCACTGACTAACCATGGCATGCCCTACCCACTATAAAACGATGAATATCTGATATGCATTAGTATTATTTTTATTGGGTGGTATTAAAGTACCCCCAAGGTTTTGTTGGGGTAGGGGTATAAATTGGCCTGAGGGCCTTCTGCCACCCCTACATAAAGTCCAACTACCCAGAAAGTGTCTATTATAATCATACAAATTGTTTGAAATATGTTGGAATGTGTGACCTTCCATGAAAAGCGAGATCCATTTCTAGAGCACTTCTACAGAATAGTCCGCAGTCTATCTAAGGCCATTGTATCGTGGCCTTCCAGTACAGATATATTCCTGCATGATCAACTGGTCATGTCGTAATCATAAAATTTGAAATCATATGTCCGCCATTTTTCCACATCACAATTTGAATTGCGAGTTTTGGTCTTATTACCTCACCAAAAATTCCAAAACACATACAAAGTGATCAGTGTATTAGTTCACATCTTCTGGATCGCTAACTTAAAATTTACAGCCAGTTACTAATGTCAGGCGTTAACGACATTTCGTCCAGTTTTCGAACATCGCCATTTTTCTTGGAGCCATTTTGTTTTAATTTTAGACGAAATCCTGATGAAATCATATCATATCTCATCAAGGAGCCGAGATTGGTCCGGTTCGATTAATGATTTATTTATCTGGCGATTTTTAAAATATTCAATAAATTTATGACACCACGGCCAGCTTTTTTCAAATAGAGTTCACAGTATTTCAGATGAAATCCACTCCAGCCAAGTATTGGCTAGAGACTCGAGTAATGGCAGGCCATTAAGGCTCCACCTATTGTTCAAGTCAAATATAATCTTTCTAAACTATAGGCTACCCCGAGAACATGCTTCACGAGGTGGTGATCAACGGAATTCTTTATAAGATCTCCACAGAATCTGTAAAATGACGAAAAGTCCAAGCCGATTTTTTCATATAGACAGGTACAAATCAATCACACAAACACATTTTATCAAACATTTAAAAATGGCATCCAAGTTATTTTCTCAAATTCTCAAAACGTAATCCGATCTTTGCACTAGTCTGCTCTAACTTGTATCTGTAAAAATTTGAAGTTCAGGTAAACGCGTACGGTCTTTTTAGAATTTTGATTACAAGATTCATATGGCGCCAACTAGTCCAGAAAGACAGACTAAAGCACCCACACAAACCCTTCACTCCAAGACGACTATAATATATAACTTTGAAAACGGGCTGCAAAATGAACACGGGCCATACAGCGTGACAGTCTCCTTACCCGGTTTCCTTAGTGAAAACGGCAATCATTGATTAACGTTATAACTAGTCTGAAACAAGGAGAGATTCTCAGCATTCCATTGTGATCTTCTTTTGACTAGCACGGATCAATTTGAACCAATATTCTAAATTGTTCATATAACGACCAAATACTTGGACTGGAGATGGATATCTAGTACTATTCTAGTGTTATAGCAAGTCCTACCATTAAACATGATCCATGCTAAAGGAAGATTACTGAAAAATGCTTTGACTCAACCACGAGGATTTTAATGAATTACCATCTTCAAGGTGTGCACACTTAAGATTTACTGTATTCTCAGACGAGAGTTGATTGAGCTCATGTAGCATAAGATATAAAACACATCTAAAATGAGAAATTAGGGTTAAGGGCATTTGGTGGAGTAATATCAAAAGTAGTACCATGCAATACCATCTAGAAACAGGTATATTCAAAAACATGCTGAGTCCTACCGTCACCATCACCTTCAAATCATGTTATGATATATTAACGCAGCCCATGTAGAAGGAATCTGCGAATTTAATCCTTTCTGTACTAATCAATTAACGAAAATGTTTTACTTTTGTCTACAATGGCTACCTTAATATATCAACAAACAACAGAGGTTGTAATCGGAACACAGAAATCAACAACAAGACAGGACATCATTCCTTTGAAATGAGAGCGTTTGTAGTAACATGCCTTAGGTATCATGCATTTTACAGGGTAGTAACTCAATATCAAGGAGGATTGGAAGCCAGGGTTCCAACTCGATATTCTTTAATCTCCACGCATGCGTCATTTGCTATTCGTGTCTGTATAATTTGTACGACTGTATGGAGAATGACCCGATACTCTCCAACAAAGCTATCGCTAGGTGATTGTTTTGCAGAATATCGGTGTTGCATTCTGGGAGCCAATCCTCCTTGCTCAATATAAAAAGGCAGGAAAAGTGGTCCACACTCCATCTATACGTTGAGAAAGTTTGTTCATTCTACAGTCGGATTCATCCGACAAGAGATTCAGACTAACAGAGAGGATTGTATATAAACAATACAAAATAAGAGACGTTCGGTTTATGGTTTAAGGTTTGAAATAAAATCCCCCAAAACAAAAACAAAACTAAAATCCCTTTAAACATCAATTTCATATAATCAATGTTAAACCATGTACTAATAACATTAGCAGCACTTAATGAGCATTATAGGTATAAATAAATGACAATTCGTGATAATAGAAATTAGAATGCATACATAGTAACTGTTGAAGGATTGAATATATTTGTATGGGTTGCACACCATGCAGGGGCTGGGAGGAGGGATCAGTTCTAAATCAATTCAATTACGAAATTCATTACTTTCTTCGTAAAGACACGATTTACATGATCCTGAAAAGAAACGAGAAGCATTACATTATATTGGAAACATTTTAACAATTCAATCTATAATCATTTTAGTTGATTTGAAAGATTTGTAAACATTTTAGCAATATTATTTAGTCGGTAACTTTTTTCTTAAACCAACTCCCGAAGAACAAGGTAAGGCTAAATAAATATAAGATCAGCTGTATCGTATAATCTTTGTAAGATTTCACATGGTCTACTCTCAGAAAGATTTGATTTCATGACAATACGTCATTGGCCCTTAATTCATTCCAAAGATTTAAGTTTAGTAGACGCATTATCAAGAATTATTATATAATGGCCAATCTTGCAATTACATGGGTAGTAAAAATAGGGTCTCTTGTCACGAAAGATTTACCGATGTTCACTTGTCGTGCTTGTCAAATTAGACACCTGGTGAATATTTGGCATATTTACCACTTCTGGGGATTTGGAAGGAAAATTATTTAGTTCAGTGTAAGTCAAGGTTTATTAATTTGATAATGTTCTTACTTATGACTAAATAATTATTTTAATGTTCAATCAAATTTAATTTTATTGATAGAGGTGTCTGATAACAAAATGTACATTTTTGGTTCATCTTTGTCAAGACAGGGATCACTACAGATAGTCTGGTAATGGGTATAATGTAAAATAAACTTTAAGGAATCAACAGACAGTGTCAGACAGTGATATAATGAAATAAATATTTCATTCTAATTTAAGTGAAGCAGAATGACCTCATTAGAATAAAATTTTAAATAAAATTCCCATTTTAAATTGATTCTGTTCAATGGAGAAATATTTAGCATGTGTTTTGAATGTATTAAATATGGAATTAATGTTGGAAAATATACTTTCAAACCTTCAAGGGAAGAATACTATGCCACAATAGCACTGTTAGATACAGTGTTTCAATGAAGATTTATCGTTAAATGTTACCTGGTTTTATCCTCAACTGTCTGAGAGTCACATATCCCATCAATCGTCCCACCCTGTCTCCGGTGAACCCTCGCTGTCCGAATGGAGGTTCGCCGTTGTACCATGACTGAGCCCGAATGCCTCTGATGAGGGTTTGGTTCAGATAGTGGAAAAAATCCTTGTTGGTTCGAATCTAGTAACATAAAAATTGGACCTGAATTTGTGAAAAAACTAGGATGATTCTTCATAAACAATTCTTTATAAACATCATATTGATAGGAAAAGCAGACATCCATATTGTCATGATGATCAGTACATTGAATGGATAAAATAAGAACTTGTTTATATCATCAATTGATTTTATGACTGTCAAATGCTGACATTTGATTCAATGGGATTGGTTGCGCCTTTGAATTAGACATAAATATCCAATATATATATATTGCTTCAAAACCTCAACAGACAGATTGAATCTATTATGTATTGCTTCTTTTTGCATACCTTTGTAAAGTTCAATTCATAGTCAGGTCTCTCAACATACAAAGACTCCATGTTTTCAACAACACGTCTTGCATCCGGGTCTCTAAAGCCATAGCTGATCACCATTAATACCCACAGATACACTCCATACAATACAATCTCTCTGATGATGTCAAACATTTTCAGTTCCTTTACTCGGTGTTCTCGTGCCTTCTCGAGAGCTTTCGGATCGGGTGGTCTGTACGCGACTTTTCTTGGCTTGGCGTTCAGAGGAGCTGTATACAAACGACAACAATAATGAGTAATCAAATTGAGAAATATTCCTTCTATAGTGATGCATACCAGTCCCGTGCCTTATAAAAAGTATAGTCTATTTGTTCACAAAAGATATATGTATCATCATGCTTATTTTTATCATCTTTTGACGTTTGCATGAAAATCTATTGAGAATCAAAGCTGTTAGAATATGCTTGAGCAAATGTCAAACAGAAAGTGTTGAACAGTCGAAAACAGTTGAAAGTGAAAGTGTTAACAGTAATGTTTATACCCTTTTTGAATTTAACATTCAGAATCAAGACGTCAATATGTTTTAGCTCATCTGGTCGTCTGGTCTAATAATGGATTTGTCAAAGTTGGGATTAACTCAAGAAAAAAGCCAAGCACTAGTTTGATATTTTACATCACTAGCCTTACCCCAGTGCTTTATCAATGTCACTAATACATACCTGTGATACTTGAACTGTGCAGCAATTCCTCATCATGCTGCAGTTCAACCTCTTCTTCATCTTGCTCTACATCTTCGTCTTCCTCTTCACTCTTCTTGAACACCAGAGAGAAGAAGATTGCTATCAAGAACACCTGAAAACGAAAGTAGAGACTCAATAAATGATTTGACGTCTACATGACACAATACACTGAACGAAATTACTTATACCTGTGAATCGATTATGAACACTACTGGAATGTACATTTTTGACATCTGATGTTGTACAACAAAAATATATTTTTTTTGCTATTTAGGTTTTTAAAATCATATTGCCTTACACGATTCATGCAATAATTGGTCAAATTAAGTACCTCGATTTACTTAATCGAAATAAATTGAAAATACTATACCTTGATAGGCTGAGTGAGGAAGATAGACATGAACATGGACATAATCATAGACGAGATCCATTGTTTGCACTTGATGTCTCCAAAGTCTATACCATAAAATAGAACCATGACAGCTGACCCAAGCACCGACACGAAGACGAGAATCCAGCCGATGATAATTCCCCACCAGGGAAACATCCAAGGTCCTTTTTTCTTTTTAGTACCTTAAAGTTAAATGCATGTTGTAAAAAATGACATGACTTGTGATGTTTATCCTTTGATTCGTTTTTATGTGATATGTGTTATCAAATTAGTTACTGAAGAACTCAGAAATAGGTGCTTTGGTCAATCTTTGGTACCAACTTTTACCATCGGACACAGGCATGGTTTTTGGCAATACCGACCCCTTGTGTAGCTAACTACTTACTCTGAAATTCTTATCAGCCTTATCAGTATAGTGAGGATACATTTTAAATGGCTAAATCCTTGTTTACATTGTGCCTACAAACTTTAACCCCTCACCTTTGGTTCCGGATGCGGTTGTTGGTCTCATGGATGTTGCAGTGTCGGGTCTGACCTCCACCTTATCCAGCTCATCATTTTCGGTCAACTGGCTCTTACTTCCACCAATATTAGCTTTTATATCAGTCACGGATGCGGCTCCAGATTTGGCTAGTGTTTTCTTCTTGTTTTCCTGAATTGCATTCTGGATTCGACTCTGCCTCTTCTTTCTCAATCTGGACTTTCTGAACAGCATCACGATCGCAAGATTGACGGGAAATACAATCAGGTTGGACATCACACCAATTGAAATCTGGAAAATATAGAACTTCAAGGTTATACACTGGATCAATTCAAATATAGAAAACGTACAATTGTCTCAACTAACTGCCTTACTATTTCAATTATTATAGTATGTATGATTACTATTTCAATTATTAGTATGTATGATTACTATTTTAATTATTAGTATGTATGATTATAGAGGAAATAATAACAAAAATGGTATACCATTTCTGGAGATAAGGCAAATGGTCCAATTGTAAATACATTGTCTGTGTCATCTCCTCTTTGGTAAAACATAGCGTTCGTCAACATGGTGCAGAATAGTAGAGAGAGACACGATGATACTCTCTGTAGTCTGGTAAATCTGAAGACGAAAAATATTTTTCTAATTGTTGCTAAAGCGTTTTATCTTGAATGATAAATGACTACGGATTGAATAAAATGCGCTAGGGTGTTGTGTTTTTCGAGTGTGATCTTAATTTGTTGCTGTTGGGACGGGGAGAGGGGAGGGGCGGTATGTAATATATAGGTACATTAAAATTAACTTATGTTAATCCATTTCAAAATACATTTTAACGTTTGATATATGAACACAAACCTGCTCTGTGGGGGCCTTGTTAGGATGGAGAACCAAAGATGTCCATCACTCATATTCTTCCTTGTTGTTTGTTCAAACAGATGACCGAATGCAACCTTTTGCTCAAGTCCTGCTACAGGAATCAGTCTGTCAATCTTAAAAGAGGTGAATAAGAAGCAGTTTTTAAATCCATGAATCAATGATTTATTCTAAATATACAGGGTGTCAAATAAGTCCCGTCCCCCCCGTCTAAGGCAAAAACCAAGATATTTGGTACCAAGTGTGATATATCATTGGAAAGGTCTTCCAAAGTTACGTTGATTGGCATATTTCTGACACATGTCAGTCAATCTCCCAAATTTTTACATTGTATCAATTGAGGTGACCATATGCCTAGAAACATGGCAATTTGGCGTTTTTGGCAGGATTTTAAGAATCGAGTATAAGGAAGGTCAAGGGACCAAAATATGTTTATGGCGATAAATTTAACCAATTTCTGGATAGGGTTAGGTGTGTAGAAAAATAAAGGTGCAAGGAAAGTGGTGAAAACCTTTTCGTAACAAGTGGAATGCGAAAAAGATTAACTCTTTGAAGTATTTCTGAGGTCATGACGCAAAAAAGCTACTCAAAGGAGGGCACGTTAACTATAAAAGACATCATAAAAATATAGGTAAAATTCATCCAAAATACTTGAGAGTTGGTGAGTTAACATAACTTTGGATGATCTTTCCAATCGTATATCACACTAGCTACCGTCTGTTAAGCTTTTAGCTGTAGAAGGGGGGACGGGCCTTATTTGACACCCTGTAGTATATTATGTAAAATGATGTATTTACCCACAATGCTCTTTGCGGTATTTCAAAAATTATCAACCCTGTAATTAATAGTCTAGGTACACTAATGAATGATGTAGATGATGATTATGGTCATGAACTTTTATCAAAGCGCACATTGACCTTAAATCGATCCTGTAAGCTAAATGCTTATGAACTACATGCATATGAAACAAAATTTGCTCACTTGTCCATCACCTTCCTCTACAGCAAACCACTTGTTGGCGATGAAGTGGAACTTCTCGTGTGTTTGAAGGTCATGAACGAGGAAGTGCTTCAAAAACCATGATGCATATGGACCCTTTCCTGAGTTGTCGTGCCATATTCTACAGTATTGAAGGTCTCCCAATGACCTGGATAAATAAATTGTTGAACGAGACATAAACCCTACAGATGGTGTTAATCAATGATATGATGCTTATCTTTCAGGAAAACTGGTCTTATCACAAAAATTCAATTGCAAATTGTGCTACAGAGCCAAAAATGTGCCCAAGATTAGGAGAAAAATGTGCTAGATTCAAATCCGACTTTTTGGTCTATTAATGCAAGGAAAAATCAAGACATAAGTTATGGCTCATTTGAAAGGTATTTGTGTACTTTTAAAGATAAACACAAATTCAGAGTATTGAAAAATATGTGATAAGACCCCTTTTCCTCTGGCTTGGATCAAATTACATTTATAAACTACCAATTGTGTTAAATAAAAAAGAAATATGATGTTCGATGTTTAGGTCATTTTTAGAATGTGACATACCCAGGTGTGGTCATAAGGAATGAGTCTATATTGCCTCGCTGTAGAACGTCTCTCTTGTCATCACTCAGTTCCCTCACATCAGTTTCGTCTCGCTCACCCGACAGAATGAAGTTCACCTTAAATCACCAAATTACGTTTGATTTAAACCATATATCTAGAAATTTAATACAGTGACTCTAAGAGACTTTAGAAGCTAAAATGAGGAATTACAAGAAATGCTCCTCAAGAAAACAGTCTTACCTTTCTATTAGGATAGGTTCAGGTGCCAAAAACAGCTGATTTTATGGATATATATCATTTTGAAAATTTGAAGCCACTGTCTCATTTTTATTCAACACAGCATATTTATTACTTTTTGGGGTTTTATAATATAGGTAAAATGTCTGTATTTGGCTTTAAGCGTCAAGCGAGCTTTACCTCTACCCTATGTATTCATAGTGCATTTCTCTTTCCATGATATTTGTATCACAGAGACTAGGAACGACGGCAGTAGTGACTTGTAATCTTATACATGTACTTTCTGTTTACTACTGTCATTATTCTGCAGGTTTAGTTTCTATTTTTTGTACTTTAAATGAGCTATTCTACCTTTGACTTTGTTCCACAGTTTTGTCGGAGTCCTGTGTATACTATAACCTCATAGTAGTATTTATCCCGAGGGTCGTTATCTGCCAATGGTGTAACACCCAGCTGAAATACGCACACATACTCATTTATTTAACTGTTTAATTTTTTTTTTATTTGATTATACAAACAGATAATATTTTATGCCCTTCAAGTATATCTCAAATTATCCATATGTGTAGCATTTATCTTTAAAACACATCATTGGAGAGGGTTGTTAGTTACGACAATGTAGTGCATATTCAATCAACCCGACTGATGCAATGTATTCTGAAGCAATTTTTCTACAGATTTTGTTATGTTTTGAACATTGTAGCATCTAAGTTATGTCCAAGTTAAGAAGTAATACAGATCGAAGATAAACATTGTATGTCACCCCCAATGCCCCAATGCATATTACCGATACAATGTATTAGATTTGAGCCCTAAACGTGTATACAAACCTTGAGTATGTCTTTCTTGTCTTGTCTCCTGGCCCAAATTGCCACAAGTATGTACAATGTGAAGATTACTATCATAAAGATGTATATGGTAAGGTTCTTGGCAAAATCCATGTTAGCAAACACGAAGTCCCAGTCTATAGTGTTTGGGGCCACGACCCATCCACCGGCAAATGTTGTTAAATGTGTACTCGCACACTTGAGTGAACTATCTGTCCCAGTCTTAGGTTGAACCTGCATGATGTAGGACAAATAGCATCAAGCAGGACAAATAGCTTAATTTGGAATAGTCGTAAAATTTTGAAATATACTTTCCAAATAAACAGATGTCATCAAAACTGACTACAATAAAAATATTGATTTAATAAATCTAAGCTAATACCACAGAACATTGACCTATATTAGATCAAATAACTAAAGATCCAACTAATTTTGATATCAAGCTAAAAATACTTACAACCATTCCATAGTCAGTGTACTTGTTCTGCGTGGGGTCAAAACTACTACAACTTCTTTGGAATGTCTTGATTGAAAATTCTCCAGTAGCATTCATTATCAGGACCTTGGCAATAGTTGTACCAGTCTCTGTCATAAGTTCTCTCACCCTTGTATTATTTACAAATACGTAGATTGTCTCGTCGCTTCCAACTTAAACAGAAATGGGCTTTTAGATATTAATTCGTTGATTTCACCCCGAATGGCATTTCTCCATATACAGGTCGTTTCTTGCAAAGTGTTGCCAACTTATGTATCATAGATATTTAGTAATTTTTAATAGAAAAAACCATAGGAAAAAGAAGTTTACCAGCAGAATTTCCGTAGGCTTCGTAATTCTCAACCTTATCTGTGACGTTGTTTACACTTGGGAATTCGTCCCCAAAACTAACATATACCGACACATTTTGTTCGACGTTGGATGTCATTGTGACTTCTATCTCAAGGGACATTGCTACATCACCGATCTCTTCTAATGTAATCGACCTAAACAATCATATAAAACTATGAAGGGGGAAATATGAAATCATGGCTAGGAAAAGGAAATGTGAAATGCAGAATATGAGCCATTTAAAATATCAAATACAAGGGCCGATCAAAAAGTTTCTTACCGTTGGCTGTACATTTTATAATAAGACGAGTTGGATGCTCAAACTTTTACATGGGGCAGGGTAGTAAGTTTGCTTGAGACTGTCTGAGTTTCTTTTAAATTGGTTCATTGGTAGTGACACAGAGTCAATACATATTTTCAATGATTGAATTAGGTGGAGCAGCGTTTTTATATAAAAAATTGTGCTAAGCTGCAGTTTTGGAAATTTCTAACACTAAGTAGTGTCATCTGTCAACAGACTGTAGTTTAATCATTTTTAATTAGTTCTTCTGCTAATATTCATTCTCATTCAAAATATTCAACCCCTGTTGCAATCCACTTCCTATATCTGTCCACTCGATCAAAAAACACATTTTAAAGGCCTTCGTATGAGCGGTTTGAAACGATGTCGGTAAATTTCCAGAACCACAACTCAGCAGGTATTTTATATAAAATGCTGCTCCACCTTACTTTGTCATTGAAAATATGAATTGACTCTGTGTCACTACCAATGAACCAATTTATATGAAACTCATACAGTCTCAAGCAAACTAACTATCCTGTATCATGTTAAAGTTTGAGCTTCCAACTCCTCTTATTATAAAATTGAGAGCCAACGGTAATAAACTTTTTGATCGGCCCATGTATGGAATTTGAGAGATTCGGAAAATAATAAGGAATGTGTAAAGGCAAAAATGAAGGCAACAAAAACAATTTAAATACTACTACCAATCATACAGAACTACACAGTTATATGGATAGCTTGTGTAATTATGTTCGTTCAGTAGTGAATAAATCAATCTAGTATTATATATAAAAAGTATTTAACCCTAAAACAGCAAGGCTTGGGCAATTGGAACCCGTTAATGATGTGTTTTAAGGAGGCGTTATCCTTTATTCCCACATAGCTAAAATAGGCAAGGTGTGTCCGATTCCAGTCAATCCGAACAGAGTATTCACACAATGAACAGTGTGTGAAATATCAATAACACATGCAAGGTCACTAGTTAAACAGTTGTCATGGTGATGAATGGGTTTTTCACATTGGATTCGATGACTTGGCAACTTGACCCTTGCAAAAAAATCATTGAAAATGTTTTAGTGATTTCGTTCCTTTTAGATGATTTATAGAAAAAATTGCAAAACATTACCTATAGGATAACGTCAAATTCCCTTTGGAATTGGATGTTGGTTTCAGGGGTGGAACAGATTCCTCATCCATCGGTTCCGAATTTGTATTTTCAATATCAATATCAATTGGCTCTTCAAGGTCCGATATCTCAAACTTGGAGCCATCCTCGAAGTAGATAGACATAGCTGGGGCTTGTGCTTCAGGGTTATTGGGGTCGTTCTCATCGTTAATAGGAAGTGTTGAAAATTCGCTGAACTGATGATTAAACAATAAAAGTACATGAATGTTTTTAAAAAAAATTCCAAACTCATATTCATGCTTATGCAACTGTTTGCACAAAGGTACGTAATCCTACTTAAAGAAACACTATGACATTAAATTAAAAGAAGATAATCGTATTCCTAGGTGGTCATTGTTTATAATCGTTTGCTCATTATAAAGTATAAATAACATGGTAGATTTTTTATGTTGTAATTGTTTTGCAAAGACATTAAGTGATGATCTCCAAAGAGATGTACTTAAATCTGTACGTACAACCACGCTGCATATTGTTTCGTCTCCACAGTTTTGAGGAGCTTTGCTACTGCCACATACATTAGGGAATTCAATGGCACAACCTCCAAGTGTCATCTTTCTCCCTATAATATACAATGGTTACTCTAATGAATGGTTAGGTAAATCTTTATCTCAGTAACTGCTATGTATCTCTTTGATAGTTTTCGATTTCAGGTTTATGTTATCATTACTTACCAAAAAAACTATTTTGTAATCGGCACTGACTATACTCCAAGGAGAAAATAATGTAGCAGCAGCTATTGCACATTGTGAATTCTGAATTGAACGTATCATTCTACAAATAAAACGACGTCATTTTTTCCGCCATACCCCAACGTGCAATTGCATCGAAAATCAATTAACAATATTCAACAAGGATCACCTTTCAAATTTTTAACGGAGTTCTTCTCAATCATTTGTCTTACGTAGGGTGATTGTATGATTTTGGGCTTTTCTGCAGCCACCATTGACATGGCTACAGATGCTCCGGCACCCTCCACAGTGTTAACAAGACTTGCAGCTTCCTTCTTCAACTAAATAGAAAAGAACACAACATCATGGTTAATGTAACTTGCCATTAAGCCCTGCCACCTTATATGATAAATTATAAAAGCTAGAATATATAAGTTAGAGGATGATGTTGTTGGCTGTTGGTGGCAATCTGACCAAGCACAGAGGATTATTGCTCATTTTGAAAAAACACAACCAACCAATCATTAAACTAGCCAATATATCATAGCTTATTTGATACACTGTAGCAACGTTGGATTTATTCCGGCCATATTCGACTAATTTTGAATATATTGCTTTTGGATGTACCTGAATTACAAATTACATTCATGTATTTTAGTAGATTAAAGATTATTATCAAACAAAAATTAGATATAAAAATGTACAGAAATTATAAAATGTACCAACCTCTTCGTTTACTTTCCTCTTGTTTGCCATTTCAATTTGACTTGCTCTATCTTGTGGATCTACAATACCAGATCAGTATATTCATATTATTATGGGACTAAAATATGCTATATTGTGACTCTCGTGAATTTCAAATGCTAGATTTGTCATACCTTACATGTGAATCATCAGCTTATAGCTTACATTTCGTCTAATAATTGGCTGATATCTAACAGTGCAGCAAGATATTTAAATATACAATGATGAAACTGAAAACTAGACCCAGTTATGGAAAATGAGTCCACCAGTTAATCTTTAAAAATATATTATCAGTCAATGAAGATAATCAAATTAAAAAACAACAGGGCGTCAGGACTCTTTAAAGGGTTGAAATCAGAATCTTACCCAACTTGGATTTCACATTTTTTCGTTGTCGTCTGATTATTATACAGTGTTTGATTTGAGGTGATTGGTATTTAAGAAACAATCAAACATGCCAAGTGTGTCTCAACCAATCAGCTTAGAGCTTATGCATGGAAATGATTTATGCACAGGATGCGCAGGGCTATTCTTTAAAAAGGGGTGACAGCATACCATCAGTGTGTTAATTTCAGCCAATGCTATGATTTTCCAATTAAGATTCCATACTCGTTCTGCACTAAACCTTTTTTTATTTTCTTTAATAATTTGACAAACAAAACCTCAATGCTCAAACAAATATCGATTGTAACTCAACAACTTAATTTAGTATCTTTAAAAATAAACTCGTCTGCAAGGGTTGAACTAGGTCAAGACTGACAACAATTTCATTACCTTGATATCCGTTTACTCTTACAATATGGCCTGCATAAGCACTTGACTTAAATTCCCTATGATACTATTAATAGATTTTCTATTTTTCATAAAATTGATCGGTTTCATGTTAGTTTTAAGAATCTGAAAATAAGTACGAAATAGTACGAAAATGTGAGCATATTATTTTTTTCAAAGAAATCAATTGTGCAGATGTAAATGGTGAGCCTTTCCATTTCATCATTCCCGAGGGTCATCATGTTTGAATTTCAAAAAAAGAATCACGTATCATTCTATATTGGAAATAGAGAAGCATCCACGCACTCGCATTCTTAACAGCGAATGCAGCGAAAAACTTTGACGGATACATCCAACAAGGAGTTATCTTATTTCTTACACTTTATGACATCTTCCGTCCTTCTCGGTATCGACGATGGTATTATGGTTGTTTAAAATGATAATGATGATTTTAACTCACCCGAGCCTTCAGCAAGAGGGTCCATATTAATATGCATAGCCTTTGGATCTGACGCTGCAACCAATTTATCTAAGTAGCCAGGATTTTGAGCTTGGTTCTTGCGCCCCTATTTGAAGACAGAACAATATATTTTACCAATGGTTCAATGTGTTTTTGATATAATTTCGCCAACTACTGTTTCGTCTCAATAAGGAGGTTCTCTCAACGAGCAAATAATGTGTACTTGGCTTATGTCTGATACGTTAATAAATGTTGAAATACAGATTGAAGTATCGTCAATTAAGCAGTTGAAATTGATCAAGTGCTCCACTACTCATGCCAAGATGGATTGCGCTTGTCATGTGCTCAATCCAAGTTTGCCAGATACATGGGAAGCGTACATACAGAGCAACATGTCTGGGATGTATTAATCGTGGTTGTTTCTAAACCATAATGATAAGGATAGAAAACTCGGGACCAAAGGAAGACAACATTTGATAATATTATATTTTTTCTCAATAGGGCTGTTGGTTAAGGGCGTCTTAGAACCAGTACCTTTACTTGCATCGACATAAAATATATATCATTACCATGGCGAGTGAGCCACAGATGGCAAGTACTGCTCCGGCCAATTCTTGTTTTACTTCTGCCACAACATCGGTAGAATCTAAAACATCTACAATGTTTCTCGCCATGGGGCCCATCGTGGCCTAGAATATAAAATAAGTGAAATATTCATCAAAATACGTATGCTTGTCAAGTTTACCACTATACACACACAATGTCAAAGTTATTGCGAGTTTTTGGGTGAATTTAATTTGAAGAGGAATACCATATGAGTTATGTTCCTGCGTAGTTAAATGTCCATCAAGAGACTTACCAATGAAGAGAATGAGAGGTCGCTAGGGTTCTTCGTGATTGCTTTAATGGCTGATACTTTTTCTAAGGCCTGATCTGCAGAATCAAAATTTGCTCCGGTGAAAGCTGCCATACATGTCTGGACAGTCTGAAATTTAAAAGTTACAAGAGCAAGTTTACTCCATTGTTTTAATAAATAAACGAGCTGAGTACTAGATAAATAGTACCGTGGGAACTGGGCTCACATGGTGTTGCTTAAAAGTGAATGATGACTAAAATGGCCGAAAACATGGATGTAATTTTTGCCGATTTTTTGTAACAAAATTATTTCATACAACTTTTTACAATGCAGGACACCTGGAACTATTTGTAAAACTAGGAAATGGGCCACAAGTGAATTTCGCAAGACAAAAATGGCAACCATTTTGAAATAGGAGTCATAGGGGAGTTTTCTGTATTGATGTTGAACAAAAATAACAGGAGTCCTATTGACAGAGGTTTTAAGGCAAATGGTCCAAAATGGATTTTGTGAGACATATTTTGAAAGTAGGCGTGCTTTTGAACCGGGAGTCATAAGGGAGTTTTCTGTATTGATGTTGGACAAATATAACTTAAAACGGGAATCCTATCGACACAGGTCTTAAAGCAGATGGTCCAAAAGTGAATTTCGCGAGACAAAAATGGCGGCCATTTTGAAAATAGGTGAGCTTTTGAACCAGTAGTCATAGGGGGGTTTCTATATTAATGTTGAACAAAAATAACTTAAAACGGGAATCCTATTGACAGAGCTTTCAAAACAGCAGTTACCACGACAATGAAACATAGTTACCATGGCAACCAAGTAAATCCTAACTTCCAAAGTCTAATTCAATACACACATCTTATTATTATCTCCTATCTGAAAATATTATATCTGTATCTGCCTGTATTTAAAAATTATAGCGTTTGTCAATTGTGGAGGTTTGGATTTCAACAAAACCCCGATTACCGTGGTAACTAATCAAATACCAGCTCCCAAAGTCTAGATCAGATCAATACTCGAAATCAATCATTGTCTAAAATCTAAAAAATGAGATATGCATCTTTCTTATTTTGAAAGTTATAGCACCCATCCAATGTGGGGGTCAGAATTTCCCTAACACCCTGGTTACCATGGCAACCAATCAGCATAGCATCCATTCAATGTGGGAGTTCGAGTCTGTGAAATAGACCCCTATATAAGTCACGGACCCATATAAGGCCAATTAACATATGGTAACTGGTGTATGTGTTATTATTCTAGTATTGTGTTACTGGTATTATATATAATAAACCTACTAATTAAAAAACGATTTAAGTATTTATACTTTGTACGCATTCATGATATAAAACAGTTTAACATGTGACAAATATTTACCAGTGCTTTCAGATATCTATTTTCCTCCGCTTTTTGTATTAACTTCTCTTGTTCTTCTGGAGTAAGGGTCGAATTCGTTGGCTACATGGAATACAAAAACAACAATCGCCATCGTTATGAAGTTGTTATATACTCTCAGTAATTGAAACTTACCCCGATTGTATTGAGGAAATATCTTTTATTATGTCTGTGTAGGATAGGAAATTAAAATCAACCAGACAGATACAATATCTTTAATTTACTAAACAACAAAAACTAGTGTTTTAATGGTTACACTGACAACTGAATTAACTGAGATTTTTTGCAAAACAAAAATTGTTAGAGTAGGTGGGCAATGTACCTTGGGTAATGATTAGATTTTAAACAATATAGAAGTCAACATCTCGGAATATGTTCTTGCACAACCATATTTAAAAGTGTGGTTTGTGTTAATGTATACATAAGCAATCATGTTATCCAAAGCAATCTGGATTCCAGTTCATTATTTGCGAATAACTATAAAATAAGATTATTTAATTGCCAATACCTCTTTGGTTACGTTAGTTGGTTTAGGATCGTCGAAGCCGCCATATGGTTCGCCTATTTGAACATTCGACGCAGCCATCTCTGGAAAAATATTTTAGCAATGAGTGATATTTTGTACAGTGGGATTTTTGATTCATATTTCTATACACTTGTAATATAAATAAAACTTAATAAAGTTATCATTGAATGTCAATATTCGGTACAAACCTTCATCCATTCTGTTGCTAATCAATTCTAGTGAGGAGGCTACACTAGCCACCACACTCACCATTGCAGAACTGTCACCATTGGAAAAAATCCTATCGTCGTCAGACAGAATGGCATTAAGGGCACCATCTGCATCCTCCTCTGATGGTTCGACCAACTAAAACCATTAAACGAACTATTACTCTCAACCGAACATTGGAATATAATACTGTTGGTATGTATTGATATTATTACTAAGACTGAATTTGAAATAAGGGGAAATCCTTTACGATAGCCTATTAGGGTCAAAGTCCATGGTAGCAGATATGAAAATTCCGTAGCACACTGCAGCACACACGTACCAATATTTAAGTTTCCTTTCGCTAAAAAGATTTCGGGGTGAAAAAACCGTAACTATTTTCATTCGAACTTTATACATTTTATACAAGGGGTGACAAATAAGACCTCTGTAAATGACAGGCATAATTCAGCCTCGATGTCGGAAGTATATTAAACGATTATAATGAAAATAGATATAGGACATATGTAAGTATGCGGTGTAAGTTCAAATATCGATGCGCTTTAGTGTGCTACCAGCTTCTTTATTACACGTCCTTGAGATTTCATACCATGGCCTATAAGCTGAGACATGTACACTCACGGTTATTCTTTCCAGTATGGTGTATTCACTAAATGCATCATAGTCGTCATATATTTCAGCCATCAGTTTCCAAGTGCCAAAGGGGAAAGATGTCGTGACACAAGAATCCAAATTATAGTAAATAGGGGTATCCTCGACCCCGGGACTTTGTACTGAAATTATGATGTGGAAATGTATATTATGTAAATAATAAAATGTTATCTTGAATAAGTTGTTTAATACTTTTAGTATAAGATAAATTGATCGGGTGAATTGTGTGATGTCATAGGGGATGCTTAAATGCTTCATTAGATGTGATACCAGGCTCTGAAAATTAAGCCTAATGATCACAAATGACTGAGTAAGATAACGCAAACATACAGAGATCATCAGAGAAAATAAAATCCATACTAATAAAATGTTTAATTCGAAAAATCCTTTGCTCATACTAAAGATGATCTAAAACAAATATGTTGCAAAGGTATCAACAAAATTGCGCCCAATGTGTGGTCTAAACGTATTGAAGATGAACTAAATGGGAAATCGATTTTCCTTGCAATATTTGGCAAAACAGGTGTAGTGTCTAACATCATGATCACTTCTTATGAAGTATTTCAATCATCCATTATGATATCACACAATTTACATGACCATTATAATAGTTCAAAACAGTCAATAACACATGGTATTTAATAATTTGATGTGTTCATAGCTTATTTGATAACTTATGCATTCAACATGGTTAGTTATGGCTATTCTTGTACGTTTTTTATTTTCCCCGGATGCCTTGATTTCCGGTTACTATTGCAACCATTTCTCAAATAATATTTCTGTTATACCAAATATTTTTAATATATTAATACAGCATTCTATACTACACATTCTGTGAAGCGTTCATCAGAATGTATTGAAAAATAAAAAATAAGAGCGATATTATAAGAACTTTATGATGTACCCTTGTATATCTCATTACATTATCATTTTTGGAGAGTAACGGGAAAATATTTTAATACTTACAGACATATCTATATTTCTTTACGTTATCATTGTCATAGAAGTCATGGCAACATATTACAAATTTGTCATCGAAGGCCCCGATGTAATTTGTCTCCACGGTTGTACCATTAAGTGTTTTGATGAGACAAGTTCCACCATGAGGAGGTGTATTTATATTGACAATCATATGACTTCTTCCTGTGGCCCCGTCGCTAACCTTGGTACATTTTAGTTCGATGTCAAAACTCTCGGACGACGGATGGTCTTTAAACAGAGTACTCATTATGGCCACGGCTTGAGTATCAACAGCTGGAAAAGTTCTTCACGATTAGTATGCCTGATATATATTATTAAAGACGTAACATTTCGTTTAATCTAAGGGCAATTGGAGCCCCAAGTAATTACGTATCTTCTGCATATGTATTCTTGTGCCATGCGTAATATTTGTTCATTTAAAGTAATACAAGTCATGATTTTACGTCTTCGAAGAAACGCTTGAATGGATTGGACTAATATTAGTTAACTGCGATATAATGTAATAAGTAACAGGTGCACTAATCCACATAATAGTATTTTATGTTAGTCTCATGTTTAAATGTAGTACACGAGGGAAATTATGTTCAGACGCAATGCACTTTTAGAATGTTTACGAACAACTTCAAAAGAACTGTGAATTACGTGATATTAGATACTATCAAATACAGCTTGTATAATTACGTTTTATCCTACATTACAAAAGTGAAAGCAAGTACGACACTTATGGCCAGATATATCGGCTATAACATCAGTGGGTACACTTTGGTATTGTTTGATATACTTATAATTACACAGATTATAGAATTTAAGATTGAATATAGATGAGAACAGTTTGGAACAGACATATTAGAATACATTTGGTTTAATAGAAAATATTTGATTACAACCAAATGCAGGTGCACGTATTTGGATACAATTGGGTATACATGCATATGTACATTCAGCTGGATACAATATAATGTAGGCAATAGGAAATATAAAATAAGATAAACATGGATACAATTGGACATTTTTAAAATAAGATAAGGTTGAGTGAAGATATGATTAGATTAAGTTGGGTACAAAACAATGACATGAACAATGAGTATGTTAAATATGCTCTCGTCATTTGCCAGGTCCTTTTTACCAAACCAATCAATTGCCATACTTCCATATTCGGTTGCACAATAGAAACAATCATTCACTCCATAATCACTTCAGTGTATCTATGATTATCCTTTGTTTCTATCGTGACTAATAATAATGTTCGGGCATGGTTTTCCTACATGTAAATTATTCTCCAACACTATTTCGAAAACAATCAATTTTTTACTACAAATTATGTCATTTAAATTGAAGTCATCAGATTGTAGAGACAAATATGTAACATTACATTATATGGCAGGAAATCAAAAGCACGTATACATATATTTCCCTAGCATTTTAAACTTTTAAGCACATGTGGCATAGCAGCGCGCTAGCTCGCATAGCGCAGAGCAGTCTCTAGACTAATTGTCAAGCAAAAGCAAATACGCGTCAGAAAACTTACCAGGCTGTAATAAGGCTCCTAGAATACACAGCATGCGTAAGAATCACAGCACAAATTCAAACAAAAATGTGCAAATTATGTTAGTAATATGTACTATACATGCAATTATGAAATGAAGATAAAACAATATACAATGAAAATAACCTTTATATAACCATTTAGAAAATAATATCTGCAATACTGTTGAAATATATCCCAGAAAAAGTTTTTCCACACTATCATCGGTACATTTTTCAGGTAGTGAGAAAATAAAACCCCTGGCCTTAAAAGGGGATATTTTGCATTGCGTCAAAGTTCCCAAACTGAAGGAATTGTTTTAGTCTACATGTGCTAGACTACATGTATAAATTAGAAAATTGTACTGTTGTATCAGTATGCTTGAGTGAATTGTATCAAAAAAGATTCAGATGAACAAAAATATATATTAAGTGATCTTTAAATAATACTGATTGTTACACTTAATGGTGTTAAATATGAACAGAATACACAACGGGAAACAAAACCCAAGGCAAAATAATAAGCCAAAATTTACATCGTAGTTTTTTATGTTATTATCTCGTAGTTAAACATGTATATTTTGGCTTTTTCAATTAGTGTGATTAGTGTGATTAGTATAGGATTAAATATCCACATCTATTTGAATTGGTTAAGAAAGGTCTAGTCAAATTGTGTGTGTGTTAGTACAATTCATAAAAGCCAATAGATAATGATATCTCATATGTCATACTTCTGCCTATATTTTGTTAGTGCTTGCTTTATATCAAGTAGTCAATTTTAAGTTATTGAAGCAAACTCAGGTTACAAAATAAGCTTGCAATTGTGTGTGCCTCTCAAGAACAAAATAAATAAAAATGCGACTCATTGGCGCATGCGCATTTACCAGGAGATCCTCTAATAACAATATTTCCTGTTCAAATCATAGAAATATATTAGCAAATACATTTGCGTCCACATGCATATAGCTTGCTGCCTGGGTAATATGCCATCATGGTTTCGTTAACAAGACTGTCCCCTTAGAAATTTGCTTTTGTGGGATCGCAATGCAATTCTGCAAAATCGGGAGTCATTTGCAAAATTCCAAATCTCGTGCAAAAAACAAAAAGAGAAAATGTTTTTACTGGAGATAACAGAACAAAGTGCTTTACTTATTGGATGCTGTTGACTCCAGAGAAATATCGGAGATCAATCTTTATTTGTTTCAATAACATTTTGCCTGATTCTTCTAAGTTTTGGTATATATTTCCATAAAAAAAATTGTATACAGACGACGCCACTGTTACTGAGTAGGGTATTTTGCGGATCTATCAATCAAAGTTGAATTTGTTATCGTTTCAATCCGCAAGTAACCAGTAAAGTGCTGGATCACAATAATTTTAAGCAAAACGATTAACGATCACAATCAATTATTAAGGTAGGGCCCATGTTGCGATGAAAACATCTGCCAAACAATGTGTCAATGACTAATAACCTTAAGCTTAACAAATGCTGCACGACGATGGTGGAATATTATTTTGCCCGCTCTACAATGTCAGTATTGAGCATCAGAAATTAAAGTCGTCAATTTACTCGTTTAACAGTAAAAGATCTTTTTATACTTGCAAATTTTCGCAAAATTTCAATTTTTTGATGCAAAATCATCGCAAAATTCGTAGTTTCAAAATCTCATTCGCAAAATTTTGAAAAAATGCGAAATTCTAAGGGGACAGACAATAACATTCTTGTGACCGACTATATGTGTTCTTATGCAGTGTCTCCCGCTGAGTAGGAGATTTAATGTTGAGACATATTATCTAATTTATTTCTATAACTATTGTCAAAAAAGGTAATGGTTGTGTTGTAATTCATTTTTGTGTTTAATATATTTGCAAAACATGTTTCAAATATTCAATGAGTCGTAAGTTAAACTAGAAAGACGTCCATGCCACTTAACTTCTTGACTGGTCATATCGTATTCAAAACCGTGCTGACATAGGCATTTTTACAAAGGACGCTTAGCTCAAATGTTACAGTAGTAGTATTTACCGCGCTACCATCGCTTGCCATGCTTGTGCCAATAGCAAATTCTATTCGACTTGTACTAAAAAATTCGAGTCAGACATCGTAACAAAATATATCTAAAAATATTTAGTTTGCACTAATTAGATTGAAGTTTTCAATTACACTATTGTATGGCTTATTTAGAAAAGTTTACATACCATCAACATAATATGCAAAGTTGTTAATTATCTGATATGAGTTGGGTTTGTCTGTATAAGGGCTAGCCCTTGATCCCCTCCATTCAAATGTACATCCTTGACTACCACATCTTGAACATTCGCCTTGTAAAGCAAGTCGATAATTAGGTGGTAAACGCTGTCCATTCGAGCCCTGTTCGCACTGTTCAGCTTGAAGACACCTGGGAAAAAATTAAACCACGACAAAACTATTATTTTTCAAGTTGAAAATACACGGTTCAAATGATATGATATTAGCATTTTAAGACCCATTTGCCTCTGATTAAACCTTTTAATTTCTTGTCCAATAAAGTTAGAAAATATCAATTTTCTAAATGTAAATATTTTCTTTGAATGCTTACTTAAATGAGAACCCACCTACTAAGACTTTGGCGAGCACATCATATTTGCGACGTTCAAATTTCATAAATTGTGTCATCAAGGGGAAAGTTTATGAAAAATCTAAGAAACTGTAATGTATCAATTAATAAATTTATTACTAAAATAGGACCGATTCAACAAGCAGTTCTAAGTTTTAAACTTTTCGAGGGAAGTGTGCCAGTCAAAGTGCAATTATATAATGCTTAACGTGTACTCAAAGTAAAGTCATTAATATAAAACAAACCGTATTGTAACCGGTGGTGGTGCTCCTGTAGTGACGTGGATGTAAAGAATTGTGTCAAATTTTCTATTATCTTTCCTTCCTTGAACGATCAACTCGTAGGACTCATTCGCCTTAAAAATAAATCCAAATGTTAAATTAACAGGACATTATACATTATGTGAGTTATGCACTACGAAATTCTCAAGAAAAAGTTTACAGACATTAGTCTCGGGAAAACAGTTAGTACGAAATACACTAAAATAGTACAAATCAATCATACACGGTACCTGAAAGTTTATTGTATCAAATTTTAAGGATTGTCCACTATAGAGACCATCAACATCTCCGATTGCCCCTGGTCCTTTTCGGAAGCATCCCCCTTTAGAGGTGGAGTTTGCCAATATCTCTTCCCGAGTCTTTGGCTTGCTGCGACCAGATATATCAGTGCTAATACTGCCTGATTCTCTATCTTCCTTATATATTTCACCAAGGCCTCTGCACCAATAGGTGAATGAGAATTCCTGAAAATATGAATACACACATCGACATTTATTTAGTAAACAATTTTTGTTTTTAATAATTGTTTTTTTGTTCTTTTCAACCAATTTTTTTGAATGAGATACCATCTACAATTATACTCATACTCAAAACACTCAACGAGAAAACAAGAAAGGACACCAATAATCGAGTTCAGATTAACTTGGAATATGGTGTTGAACTAGTAACATTGGTAGAATTGTAGGGAAGAATCTTAGAATTTTACATAAATCAAAACAGTCACAATGGCCTACAATGCTAGCCTTTCAAAAATCACAGACGGCTTGTTACTTGTATATGGCATGAATTCAATCAAATTATAAGGAAATAACGTCATGATATGATATAGGCAACAACAAACCTATTTAGTTTTGTTGTCTTACTTTTGTTCATCAAAGAGTAAATATGATAAACTATATTTACCTCTCCGTTGACAGATCTTCGCTTTCTCACACTCTGTAAGAAATAAGATATCAAATTAAGTAGTGTAGAAATAAAGTGTATCATGAGAAACATCTTACAAATTCAGCAACAATTTTTACATAGTCTCAGCTTAATAGTCTCAGCTTAGTTCCGAATTTCAATGTGTATATTGGTATTAAAAAGGAAAGCAACGCTTCTTCTAAAGAATTGATTATTGGTGATACTTGTTTATTTAAAAATAGATGAGTGCATAGGTGATCACAATATAATGGTCAGGTAAAGCGATTATTTCTTATCATATAACAGAGAAGATTATGTAAAACATTAAGGAAAGATAATTATGTTTCTTATTGACACGACCGCATATATTCGATACTTTTTGCTTTGTTTTATTTTATACTTGTTCAATTCAATTGAAATTTAGCACAGACGTGTAGTGTCGAATTCCACATTTTTGATCAATGCGGGTCAATTTTTACCTCTATATTGTTTGAAAATATTTTTTTGAAATTGAAAGTCAAACTGCGAAAATCCTCAGGGGGGGCATCTGTGTAGCATTATACTGATTTCAAATCGCATCATTTCAAGCTAAAAATGCATATTAAACAACTTACGTTAGAACTGTCCACGTCATCCGGATCTGTACACTCGGGTGTTATTTCAATAGTTTCATCCTCACCAACTGTAATCTGACTCACTCCGCCAGGCCAAGCAGTGCAGGAAATGTCCGACTTTACTATATTTATGTATGTGAAAGCGCAGTTTTCGAACGTTACATCATTGACCACAATTGAGACACAAAATCTGAACTCATAAACGACGGTCTCGGGGAAAAACCTTTTTGGAAATACAATCGTTGCTGCATTGGTTGTCACGCCAGTCAAGTCGACTGCTGTTGCCCCTTTACCTGTAATCGGATCAACTTTAAATACTGTCCATAGCTTGGTATTGTCTGGTGATGCTTCACAGTGGTTTTCCACGATTCCCAAGAGCTGAATAGCTTTGTTCTTTTGTACGAGTGGGGCCTGGTGAGCAGAAATTGGATCTGTAGATCCATTGTTCTTTATACTGACTGAAGGAGTCCTAATCAAAAAAATAGAAAGACATTTTAGCTAGGTAGTTTCCAAAGGAATCTTAAAAGACGATTGAGAAAGGCATTGAGTCTATAAGCACAAAAATGGAAAAACGTGAATTTGGGAAATCCAGATTAATTTAACTAAACTAAATCATGAAAATACATGAAGTCAATAACACTTTTTTTGTATATGTGTCGGTATATGAAATCAGTAAACAAGTATTTTCAATATCCTTTTTGGGTTAGTTACGTAGGCACTCACGTTACTTTTAAATAAACTAAACGAAGGTCATACTTACTGGCAAGAAGCGCCTGATATGGTGATATACATAGTGAATTCATTCTTGGATACATAATTCTCAGCTTTAACTTGGGCAACATATTGTGTGTTAGCGGTATATACGTGAGTAAAGTTACGCGGAAGTGTAACGGGGGGAAGCGCAGATGTCCCGCAGTTGTCTGATGCTAAACCATACACTTCTATCGTCCCATCACCAAAGTCAAATGTCAAGCACGCACTGAAGTTGGAATGATTATATAAGAATAATGATCACTTATGTACTAAATAATAGATCTGATCAGATTCTTAAAGAACTAATTACACCGAGTCATTGCTCATTTAATGTAAATTGGATATATGTACTGTTTTATAACAGCAATAACCTACGGTATGCTAGCTTATGTCAATTTATTTGCAAGTAAGTTTAATTTGTTGTAGCGTAAACACTTTTATATTTTTCAGTTCTCTGTGTTTATCATCTGACTACGGTACTTAATTTTGAAAGTATGGTACACAGGGAGATATGAAGAGTACTAAAATAGTACTCATGGCATATCAACTCTAAATGAGTACTCAGATTATTTCAGTAAATATTAGTACTAAATGAGCACTCGTCATGAGTACTGATTTATTGCATGTTTTAGTACCAAATGAGTACTCATATGATGAGTGATAAAATAGCAGTAATTTCATTGATTTTTAGCGCCAAATGAGTACTCATATCAGATGAGTGATAAAATAGCACCAACAGAATGAATTGATATTTCAGCACTAAATGAGTACTAATATCATAAATTAGTACTAAACTAGCACTCCTGACATGAGTACACATGGGTGCACTTTTGCCAGAGTACTAATTTAGAACTAATTTTGTACTAATTGAGTAATCAGCATATCTCCCTGTGTATATATTCCTAAAACTGAAAAACAGGTAAACACACATGCCATTTTAATAATCATAAAACATTTCATAACGTTCTTAATAGTGCGTGTTCTTTAAAATAAATCATATGCATACTTCGTCCCGAGGTCCCCTTCTACTAGGAACACTTTCTCTTCTCCGGCCTTGTTCATGATTCCAAAATCGTCCATTACAATGCCGTTGACGCTATTAACAATAGTCATTGTTGTCGTGACAATCATATTTTCAAGTGGATTAGAATAGGTGAACTCCAAATCATAAACCCCAGGCTTAAATGTAAGGAAATAAATAAATGTGTATTAAATTAATAATTACAGTTATAGTTTTATGCTTTTTATCAAAGTGTTTTAATTGTTTTTAGTTTTTAAGGTGACATAAAACTACGTTACATGTATTTATGCAGCGTCGGTATGTTAAGATTATATATAGTAAGAAGTACCAACCCATAACCACTGTGAAATATGTTCAAATACAGGGTGAGCTGTAAGTACCATTGGTATCAATGGTCATGGTTTATGGCCATTTTACAAAATATGTCTCAAATGTCAAAATGCCAAATTCACTCGAAATGAGCCCCAAAACATTTATCCTGGGATTATTTCAAAGATGAGTGCCCGGAAATCACCAAACAAATGACATAATGATATCATAAAGATTTCTAATTCTGGCTTCTTACCCCCAAAAATACAGCATTTATTTATTCAAACATAATACAAGTGCCCACAAATAACCAGATAGCATCTTGGACTTTATCTTGAGAGACATCCTACTCCCTTTGCCATCGCTCTTCAGAATTTCTTTTGATTGATTCAAACAATAAAATTACTGAGTAGGATCTTTAGCTGGTTTATATCAGGATCCCTTCTAGCGCACCCTATTCCAATGTTTCTCCAAATATATCATGAAAGAAGTTTTACAGGCTTGCACTAAAAACCCTAGAAACTCCAAGGAGCTGCAACAAGAGATTGGAATGAGAGCCACCATAGGTATATGTGAGCGTGTAGTCAAAATAACTACACCCAAAGCGTTTGGGTTTGCTACCAGAGACGAGATGGGCATTTTTAAAATAAAATCTTGACCATTTAGATTAGACTTATAGAACTTAGTAAAATGAAAGAACATTGATCAAGGTTAAATATTAATTGTGTCAAATATTACCTTAATAAGGTTAAATATTAATTGTGTCAAATATTACCTTAATCCATACCGAGTGTCAGAGTCATTAAGATCTGTTTGTGCACTTTTTTGGCTCACCCTGTATTTTGAACATTTTCTCGGAAATAATTCCTTGGTCACATTCACTCGGATCCATCGGCAGGCGCCCGGTCGATTGAGTGTTAGTGTTTTGCTCAATATTGTATTCAATTTTGAACAAAATACTCAATCGGCCGGGTGCCGTAGTGAAAATCGGAGCAAATATGACCAAGGCATGAGAGGCATTGTTTTAGAAAATATCTTATCTGCATATTTCAGCCTTCAGGGTAGTATTTGAAATCAGAACCAACATGTGCTTGATATTAAATAATTCAAACATTTTATGAGAATAAAGTATGCATTAAAGTATATTATGTGCATTGATATATGTGTTTTGGATATGAATATAGTGCTGAAAAGCCTTGAGCTAACTTAAATAATAATAATAAAAAGGTGGATTGTGAATATGTGCATAAATGTACAACCATGTGTTTTTTGATTATGCACATCGTGCTGAAATGTTTCAAATTAGCATTGGATTATTAGTGTAAAAATGATGAATAAAAGGTTCTGATTGCATAATCAATGAATTATGCATTTTGAAATTATAAACCACATTCATTTTTCATTACCCAACAGTTAATGATATCACTACAAAATACACTTAAACCTATGAGGGGGAGTACCTCTGTCAGTCGAAGACCTCAATATACTAATTAAAAGTAAGTGGGAAATTTTACAAATGACACTATGCTAATGACTCTATGTAAGTACAATAACATCCCAAGAGGATCGATTTTAGTGGTTCCAAGAGTGTTCCAAGTTAACAGGTTTGCTGCATATAATTTCCTGGTGAAACGTTTTCTAATTTATTCCATGATGGTGAAATTCCCTGCCATCTGATTGGTGCACGTGACTTAAATATGTCCTGTATTTACACGCACTTTCCACTAAGCGTTGGATACAGAGTGAAAAAGACGTCAGCGTTGGGATACGGTCTAGTATCCCAACGCCCCAGATTTCCATCCAGGATATGACTATTACTGAAAAAAAATCAATGGTGATCAGTTTACACCAACGCATGCTAATATTTGCATTTTGCTAGGAATATCTGATTTGAATATCAGGAAATGATACGGTGATCATCACAATTTATAATTTTAGGATAAAAACACACATCTGTGAATATAAAAAGATCAATATGAAGCATGCACATTGTTTTCATGAACTAGTAAAAGAATTTAAAATCCAATATCACACTACTATACCTTGCATTAGGTGTTCATGAGCAACCCATTTGGCTTATTAGTAATGATTATGTATTTGTTTTTATTTGTCTGTTCCTTATGAATGGTTTATCGGTTGAAAATTAGATGCTAGTAAGGCACTTTCAAAAATATATTAAACAATTCAATTAGACAAACAAAGTATCTTATGCATTTCTAGGTGTTAGGTATAGTAGTGTGATATGGCAGACGGAAGTCGAAAATACGTTTCGCCACACTGCACTTCCAGCTGATGAAATTGAAGAAAAAAGAAAGAGAATCAAAGGTCTCGTATAATATACAATAAAAAGCAAACAACAAGGCGATAAAGATTTTGAAGGAATATTGATGTAAAATATCTCTGAGGTGAGAAGGATGATCTTTCTCCGGCCCCAAGCCAAGGGACTTGATTTAGGCAAGTTTTATCTGGGGAATCATGGAATAAAAACGTTATTCAATGATTTCTCGTGAAATACAGAAAATATTCTTCCCTTGAAGTCTCTGCTAGCGCATCGTGAAATACAACCTTCTCGGGAAGAATATTTTCTGTATTTCACTCGAATCATTGAATAACTTATAATTTATCCACATTACTAAGTGGTATTTTGTTAGAAACCCTCATATGTTACTTCTATGGCTCGAATTTATAATTTGGGGTTTGTGTTTATTTAATTATGAATTGATTATGCGACCCAAGTGAGAAATATGTTTTTTTGTATTTTGTTTATCCTCTTGATGTCAACATTTTATAAAGTAGCATCTTTTTAAATACAAAGTGCAAATATTTTATTTACTCTGGATATTTCTCACGTGATATCCACCAGATCCGAGTGGCTAGTGGAACATCATCTTGGGAAAGTGTAACGGGTATTCACGGAAAAAACAATTAGACAATTGTTCTATATTATATTAAAGTCAAACTCACCACCAGTGATATGTAGTACAAATATTTAGAGTTATCACACACAAACATATTAGTTCAATTTTAGTGTTGGAACAAAAGATCTATAGTTTAAAATATCAGCATGTTAAGAAATGTAAGCTGTAAATGTGAAAGCATACTACAAAAATGTGAAGGAGTATATAACACGTGTTAAAATATGAATGTCGAGCATTTTAATCAGTTTAAATGTAATATTTTAACTAATTGAAATGTTGCTTGTGATTTTATTCATTAGGTCAGAGAGCACTTTTATACGAGGTATATACTAATAATACAAGAACTCTCATTCTCATATCTGTGTGAGGGAATCAAAATAAAATGTTCAGGAATTGGCAATATGTATGTTTTTATACTAAATAATTTGTTCTACTTAATTTTAAAATTATACTCCCCTACATAGGTTTGGCAACCCCAACTCTCTCATTGGAATACGCGTTAAAGCCTCTTGATATTTGAATTTATATTTACATAGCCAGCAATGAAAATACTTATAATAAATGTGGAAATGTAACTTGACATCATTCGCAATGCCTTTTAATTTTTCCAAAAGGTAGAAAATTTATGACAAATTTAATGAATTTTTGAAAATTGTCATTGCCATGTAAACCAATGGGAAATGGTTGGTTCGGGCATATATTCAATGAAATATTTTTATATAAAAAATTGTCTATAACTTTTTTGCACGCTTAGTGTTTAAGTTTACTCGGTGAACATGAAAGCTACAGCTAGAGCTTCAAAGTCATTTTTGAAAATCATTTTTCGCCTCCTGTGTATGGCATTATTTTTGCTTCTCTATTCATTAAATTTAAATATATTCATGATATTGTTATTGTTGACTTTGGCATGTAATCCAATTGGAGAGTAAAGGATTGCCAAACTTATAGAGGGGGGTGTACATCAAATTAAATATACAAGTACACGATAATGTATGAGGCCATCTATGCTATTTTTTAATATACCAATGACATAAAAAGTAAAAACTCCTCTGGATATAATCTACATTGGATCTAATTTTAAAAGTAATTATACATTCATGATATTTAGTCATTATAAAGACATACATATTGCCTTTATTCTATGAAAATATCATGTGATTCCATTAATTACAAATAAGAAAAAAAGGAGACCGTTAGTATCAGTGTTTATTGACAACCCTCGTGCAGTTTTGAACACCACATCCACGGCATCGATGATGGGTAGATTTTGGTTGAAAATGAATTTAGACATGATATTTACTTATTTTCAGATTGACATTCATATTAAGTGACCTAAATTAAGTTGATGCCCATGACTTATGTATGTGTTAGTACGACAATGTGTGATACCATATTAATATATCTATATACTAAATGCATCGAGAATGCATATAGAAAACTTACTTTATTCTATAAGCGTAATATAACAAATATATTATCATATACATATATATAAAATGTCTATTCACAGTATAAGAGACAATTGAACTACAGAGTGTATTTTACGCACTTGAACTACATAGTGTGTATTTTACGCACTTGAACTACATAGTGTGTATTTTACGCAATGCTTACTCATGGCACAAACTAATTCTACATAATTTGTGTACGTCTAGATTACATTCTCTTTGGCAGATATTAATAGCAATTGAGTCATTTGATTTTGTCCATTTCTTGGTTGTCATTCGTCAACCTCCCTGGTATTTTTTAAAAAACTGAACAACTTTGGCAAAAGCTGGCTACAGGCCTGATTAACACCTCAAAATCAAAAGGATGTTCTTAAAAAACGTACCTGGAAAAGATATTCGAACGGGGTAACTTCACTGCTGCAAGTGAAAACCTCTAATGTTTCCCTACGCGTTGCCATCATTTCATATTCAGAAACGGTCCCTTTAATAAAGTATAATTATACCTTTAAACATTACAAGTTATACAAATATCCCAAAATATGCTTATGCTTAATACACTAGCAATATAACTTTGAAATACAATTTCGAAGATAAAGTAGTAACACCATGCAACAAACGTAAATGTGTTTTCACAGGGGCGGACCTTGGAACCAACCAAGGGGGGGGGGCAAACTTCAAGTCTGATAAAAAATCGGGCCCCTTAACCAAAAAGTGAGCTCTTTGAAAAATTTAGGGCCCATTTTCTTCAAAATTGGCCTAAAATTAAAAAGCAAGGCCCTTAAGAGGCCCAGTACCGCCTAAAAGGCCAATTTATTCGGGCCATGAGGCATTTTATTGGCCAATTTTTTGGGCCCAATTTTTTTTCTTGGGAAGGGGCGGGCCCCTGCCCCCCTTTATTTATTTTTCTTGTCATTGATTTATTTTTGTTTTGTATTTTTTAATTTGCGAATTCATGCTTATTTTCATTTGCTTTTTATTTCATTAGCTATGAAGTTCATATATGTATAAAATGTTTCTTATTTTATGCTGAGTACGTGTATAGTTCATCTATATTAGTGTTCTTTTCGCATTGCATATCTTGCTCATCGTCTATATTATATTAAAATTCTGCTAAGTTATAAGTCACGTTATGGGAGTTCACTCCTACACTACAGCACCTACCTTCAATTGATGCAAAAAACTTGACAGGGATACTACTGGGGAACTGATCGTTTGAGGTTCCCAATCCTGGAATGGGATCGCTATGGAGAGGAAGCAATGGAACATACTTCAACTCAATTACGGGATTAGCTAGGGGTTCATAAACCCCAGCCTGGAAAAACAAAGAAACACAAAAAAATTGAATGACAATACAGTACTGTTGAACAATGGGTCAAATTGTCTAAAAGAATGATAAGCTCACCAGTGTCTTTCTTTCCTGAATGTAAAGTTGTGGTTAGGTCTCAATATTTCAAGAAACTCAAAGCCACACAGCATGCACGCTTCATTATGAATATTTAAGCTAATCGTAATGTGAAAATGAATTTTTGTCCTATAACATTTGAGAAAATTTTAGGTTTAGCTCATAATTTAACTAATTTACTTTCTTTTGGTTCTTTGAAGAGAAGCAATATATGTGGGCAAAATTTATAAAAAATAATAATTAAACGTGTGGTACCGGACAATTTATAGATCCGGAGGAAGCATAGTTGTAGACTGTTACGACCACATCTCCTGCGTTGCCTCCTGGGTAGAAGTGTGTGCGCACTGGGTTGACTGTACATGGCGTAGATGTACAACTAAGTGGAACGTCCTCCTCGTTGAGTTGATAGTCAGGATAGATGGTGTTCTTTCCATCGTTATACTCCAGTTTTACATACGCATCAGTTGGAATAACCACACTACCACCATACGTAAATCCAATGTTTTGTTCTCCGTTCACACCTGAGAAAAATACAAGATATAATAATAATTTGCATACCCTAACAACAAACTACAACTCGTTACACTACAGTTCCATTGACGAGTGACAACGGGGCGTTTCGAAATAATTTGGTTCTCATGGTTTTAAGTACATGTAACAACAGGGCCATTTTTATTGGCCCATCCTGTATACATGTATGTGCATATACTTGAAATTGACTTACCATATGGCTTAGGAGAATCTGTTTCACAGGTTAGTTGGTTGACGTCAACTGGATGTTGGATAGCTATTTGGTACGTTAAAGAGGTGCTACCGAGGACATCAGTCGCTGTTACTGTTATATTGTAATTGTTTGGTGAGCTTGGAAACGTGTGTGTGAAGTCTTGCCATTCAGAAATGACTGGGGCTGAAATAAAAGAATATGTACACGTGTCTTGGTCGTGTTTTACGCATGCTCAACTAATCTACGAAACTTCCCGGCAATGATCGCTCACGAGTTATCCTCAAATTAATTTCGAGAAAAGATTTTTGCCACACCAGGGGGTAACCATCCAGATTCTAAAACTAGAAAAACGGCAGGTCCACAGATCTAAGAAATTCAATTAGGATTTTGAAAATATCAGTTTCAGTAGTATAACAGTATTGTTTAATTTTGTTGGATATGTTGTCTTCTTGATTAGAATCCTATTATATCCTTTGAGGCATCAACATAAAAATATGAAGCAGATATGTTAAATAAATGAAAAAATGAAAAAAATGCATTCATCTCGAAAATTCAAACTTGTGTAAAAACCTATTTCCATAGGGCCTTAGCATAATGAATTTGATTCGACTGCAAAGTGGTGTGAAATCACAGATTACTTTTATATGAAAATGGTGGACATTTAGAATTCAGTGGCAATCAAAATTTGAACTAAATCTGTTTACTTGAATTTTTGAATGACTAAGCTTACCTTCAACATAGCGGGTACTTGGAGGAGAGCCATCGCCAAAGTCAACATTGATGGTGACTTGACTTCCTGACATGCGCACTTGTATCACGGCAGGTTCACCTACAGGTATGCCCAAAGTAAGGTTTCCATCCGACTTCAACACCTGGGTCGACAATCCTATCAAATATATAAGTTATGGTAAAAAACACAATTGTTTCACCACTGAATGAATACCCGGGTTCCATGCATGCAGCCTTTAAGTAAAGGCAATAGGCAGTGTGCAAAATAAGATTCTTGAAAGATCAAATAATACGAGAAATATAACATATAACCAGTCAACAGTTGATCAACGTTTTGCAACGTTATTTATGAAACTGCTGATGATTAATGCCGTGGTCACATTTGCTCCGATTTTCAGCACCGGCGCCCGGCCGATTGAGTATTGTGTTCAATACTCAATCGGCCGGGCGCCGAAGTAAAAATCGGGGCAAATGTGACCACGGCATTAGGAAGGTTTTTCGGATATGCTATTAGTGGAGAGGTTAAGCAAATACGGTTTTTCAAAACGTATACGTAAACGCAAAGTACATTGAATCAACATAGGATTGTATCGCTTTAGTCTACTTCAGATACCCGTTCAACTTCAAAGTTGCGTGTTTAGAACGGGAGATTTTAAATTTTCACGTTGCTATCAACGGGAATCATTATACTCATGTCTGTTGAATACTATCCTTGGAATTTTGATTTCGATGCAAAGTATAATTCTTTCTGAAGAAGATGATGTATGTAACGCATGATTTAACTCCAATAATCTTACGAAACGAGCTCGTTTAAAATATGTATTAGAAAACCAGCTATTGAACTTCACCAATGGCATACTATGTAATCATTACAAGCTATGGTGTAGTCTAAACAAACACTAGAGCTGAACGGCTATTTATGTGTGAACTCAACATGTATTTGTATAGGGCCGATTGATACGTTTAAGTTGCGTCTTGGATTTTATACGGTAGCTTAACCTCTCCAGTGTTTCATCCAATAAGCCGATATCGTGGACGAGGGTTGCTGATATTACTATAATTTTTTTATAAAAATAGCTCACCTCGTATTGGCTCCATGGTAGTGACCATGCTATGTACCGTCTGTTCGCCAATCTTGTTCCATATTCTACAGGATATAGTATAGACAACGTTACCATCCAAACCTCCAGGGAAACCATGGGTGAAGACAAAGGGATAGACATCAAATTCCTGAAACTCCTTGATTTCACCATCACCCATCAAGCAGCTCATGCTAGCTTTGGTCGGTGCCTCGAGGGGATCGTTGTCAATTGTGATTTCAGCAATTGATGGCTCGTATATGTTATCACTTGCAGGAATATTGGTATTGCTACGACCTTCGTTGATTCTCATGTTCTTCACATCATTATACACATTGAATGTGTATGTTTTAGTGGTTCCATTAGTATCGATAGGGTTCCACACTTTCACGGTGAAATCACAAGTTGTTGGAGTGTCAAAAAGGTGCGTGTGCGTCTGTTGACCGCTCCAATCTATAAGTTCACCGGTGAAGTATTCTTCTTTGGTTCCACCACAGTCCGTAGCATCCCACTCTATCGTCACTCCCGAACCGGAAAGCATGTCAACAGTGAAGGTAAAAGGCTCACCTGAGTCTAAATCCTTTTCTGTACCCGGTACCATGTCACCGGTTGCTCCAAACGTAGGACTTTGAATTCTCATCTCTACAGTGAAATTGTATGGCTCTGTAATATCACATACCAAGTTGAATGCTCTCAATTCAGCAACGTATAATCCACTGTTGGCGATTGTGTGTTCATTCGTTGTTTGACCACTGAGTCCATCTGAATTTGGGGTAACAGGTCTGTCTACGCCATCTAATATGATGGATACACTAGCTCCACTTCCAGAATCCATGGCATAGTCCATGTGAAACGGTGCTCCCTTTTCAGCACCCCAATTCAAAAGATGCAAGTTTGTAACACAGTCTTGAACGGGGACCACCCCACTTATGCTAACAGTTGACACCAAGTTAGAACATGTGACTGAAACGGTGTATCCAGGGGTCCAATTGGGAGTAGCGTATACATGTGGTTCGTTGATTACAAGATCGATTTCACTCGTTGAAACAGCCGACTGTCCATCTCCAAAGTCCCAGTCGCACGTGAAGTCTGAACCAGTGTCCAGAGTTAAGATGATGGTTATGCTTTCTCCTGTTATTACGGGTGCAACATCGAGAACTGGGTTTGTCAGCCGCTCTTGTACAACTATTTCCGTGAAGTTTTCTTGACTGGTGAGTAGATTGAATGCTTTCACCGTGATGTTGTAAGTCCCTCGGGTCGAGTAGGTAAACGAGATGGGCAATAAAGTTACGTTTTGATCCGTTGCCGTTGCATCTCCTTGGTTCCACGTATAGGTTACATCAGACCCTATATCAAAGAATCAGTTGAAGGTACAAGTGTTAAATTATTGTTATTAGACTATATTATTGAACAAATAACTTCATATTTGAGGATCGCACTTTAAACAATAAATAATCACAATTCAATTGTCTCAAATTGAATGTATAGTGCTCAAAGGGATGTCTTGTAGAAACTGAAATTAGTTCATAGCTTAGAAATATCAAAACGCGGGAAATTAATCGTGCATTTTGTAATTAATTCATTCGTATAACTCTCCATTAAGCAAAAATTCAAAATTAGCTATGGTACTTGAATACCTTTGTGTGGAAGCACGTTACAGTCCGCTGCTTCATTCAAAGCAAAGTGCTCGGGACAGTCAGGGATTACTTCATCGATGCTCTCAATAACAACTACGGTACAGTTGTCCTGGACAGGGGTTGTGGCTAAACTAGTATCTTGATTAGCTAGTGTCCAAGCTGTGTTATAGGTCCCTGCCGTTGTGAAATTATGAGTGAATGTCACACTTAATGGTTTTGCAGAAATTGCGCGAACGAGACGTCGGTTATTGAAGTCGCCAAAAGAGGAAGCGGTGTGTGTGGATCCTTGTGCTGCCGTCCCTGCTTTGAAAAAGTCCATTCCATCATCGTCAGGTGTCGTTGCTCTATAGCCGATGACTCCGGCAGCTGACGTCTCCACGTAGCCTAAATATGAAAATAGTGTATGTATAGAAATTATGCAGATGAATTATCAAATATTTGAAAGAGGTCGCTTATATTAACACATAGTTTACTCACAGCTGCGGTTGAACAATCCTCGGAAAGAATTGGGTTGACTATTTACTAGAGACATTATATGTCTCTGTCTTTATGAATGTTGACCCAAGCTGCCCATTGGGTGTAGTAATGGGTGACACTCAGATATAATGTATACTGTGTTCTCATAAGTCGGCATCGGCTAGTGATGTTACAAAATGTTGTTTTTATTATGTATTTCATATGTATATTGTAATATCAGTGACACAAAAATAAACTATTTTAAACTAAAACACTAACTATTTTTTGTTGAAACAGGTCTTTAAACATTATGCACTTTTTAAACAACGGGCCTCAATAGAAATTAAAGATACATACATACATGTACCATAAGTTAACAATCAGGTCCAACAAATGATATGTAGTCTTAATGATTGTACCTATTACATCACCAGCTAGAACATCAACGGGAGTGGTCAAGGGATCTACAGCTATATAGTTCCATCCAGCTGTAATGGTATGAGAGGCCGCGTGTGTCACTGTATATCCAACTGAAAATCTTGTTGCAAAGTCTGCAGAACCGGTGAAGAACCTTTAAATTAAATGCATTTTTGTTATTCCCTGTCCACCCATATATGATAGATAGCTAAATTATAAGATCCTGCCCTCGGCGCAACTACATAGCATAATATTAAATTAGTTTCCCCTAGGTATCATGAAAGAAAACAATGCGCCCCTTCGTTGCAAATTACATGCTCACATTTTTTTAACAAAAACAGCTCATCCAAGCGCACATAAACCGCCCATTACACTGTGGCAATAAAACCTTGTCGGCTAATGCCTGGGTCACATTTGCTCCGATTCATCGGCCGGTGCACGGCCGATTAAGTATTTTATTCAAGATTGTATTAAATTCTGAACAAAATACTCAATCGGCCGGGCGCCGTAGTGAAAATCGGAGCAAATGTGACAAAGGCATTACCGCGTTTGTCAACTGCGTTGGCTCGTTGCCAAGTGGATTTTATTATTCAGTAAGCATTTGGTGCTGAACTTAAATCTTTTAATCTACCTAGATGCTGGTACAGAGCTGTCACAGTGATCGTTATCTAATATACATCCTCCGTTCGCAGGGCAGAAATCTTCAGTCGCCATGTTGCAAGCAGGTGGCCATGTAGCTGAGCAACCATCACAGTCGTTTTCCGAGAAACAATACGTGCACCCAGATGCTGGAGTCAACACCTTTAAATAACAGGCAATCCCGAATGGTTTAAATCAATGGAATGCTGAGATTCATGGATAGGAATAAATTGAAAATGATTAAGAATAAATGTACTCGTCAAGATTAGTATATAAATCAGAGAAAACTCTTTCAATCCAAAGGATACGATCAGAACGAATACCAAAATGATCTCATGAAGGTGGTAGTGTCCAGTGTGAAAACAACTTCACGATAAAGTGTAGAGACAAGATTACAACTATGCTTCATCATCAAAAGTTGATGTCATTGACTTCGTTTTTACTTAACGTTAGGGAATAGAGTGGGGGATTAAGAGAGTATTTTCTCCAAAACTTAACCACATGGGCTCTCATGCTCGTGCCTTATAAGCCCTTATCTAATACAAAGGGAGGTTAGTAGAGAAGTAGGTAGAGCTAGGTAGTGAATTGAAAAAAATAATTTCATACTTTAATATACATACATACATACATACATACATATTCAACAATGTAAATTGATTGGGGTAAAGAATAATGGAAGCAATCCATTTAGTAGTTACTGAGATATTTGAATAATTCTTAAAATTGCTAAGAAATGAGACAATCACCAGTGAATTGGTTGAAAAGAATGGTACATTTCAGTCCATTGCTTTCTTAATATACACTTACTGTTAAAATATGTTAGTTACTGGGATTTTTCATCTGCTATTTGTCACTATGGCAACATATTTTCATGAATAGAATCACTGAATGACTATTACGCATCTATATATAAATTTATGTAAAATTCAAGTTTTCTATCAGTTTTCTGCTTCTAAAGTGTAAATGTCGAGGTCTACAGTATATCATTTAACCATTGTATCATCTTACACCTCCAAACAATATTAACGAAAGAGCAGTTTCAAAATGCTATTCACGTCACATCTCAATATATCCAGATTCTGGTCATTGAGACATAATTTTAAATAATCTAGTATGTATAAATATCGTAAAGTTTGTTGATATGCCACGGCAGACAACACGGACGTGACAACTTAAATTGCAAACTGCTATTCTCACAGAAAGATACACAATAAGCCAACTTACCAAGAGGTCGACAGTTCCCGGGTTAGCCGCATATAGCTCCCACCCCACGAGAATGCCATCAGTTGGGAATTGAGACGAGGGCATGATGTAAAAACCAGCAGAAGGTGTTGTCAATATATTTGTGTTTGTCTGGTAGGGGATACCAGGCCCAGCTGTTGATTTTCCCGGGGCTGAAGGACATAGAAAGGTTAAAATTACGCTCCAAACCTTTTGAAAAAGTAGTTGTAAATAGTTTAAAGAGAATTGCAATTTTCCATATAAATGGAAAAATAGATGGCATTGGGGTCTTGGTAGGGCTAGAATACATGTAAATGTATTACCAGGGTTACTTGATTTCTTGATCTAACAGGTAATTATACATTTTGATCAACTCAAAACACCACTGGAATGTAAATCTATGAACTTGTTGACTTGTGGACTGTGATTTCACATTAAAATTGTGATTCTTATTAGAGTAAATGAACTTTTAAAGGTTTTTCAACATTGTGTCAATGAGGATTTAGCCCGACGTTTATCAGGACTCTTGAAAATCGTTGGAATTTGAATCAAGGTAAATAACTGTGCAAATCAAAGCTTTTTTGATAGAATTGAACACATAGAATATCTTAGTCTTTAATGGTTAAAAATGCAGATCTATTAAAATCTCATTAAAACGAGACTTTGACGAGATTTCAAAGCTTTACGGGAAAATATGTGTACAAATATATAACCTGGCTGGTAAAAAGTCTATGGAACATTTTCCCTAAATTATTCAGAAAAATAACATTTCCATGACAGTAACATATCACATTATGGTGTTTTTGTTTTTAATTCCACTTGAACAGAAGATAAGCATCTTGAAATAGCCATGAACTTATTTTGAAAAATATTTGAGTATTAAAGTTTGCATTAGAGGAATATGTGCTTACTTAGTTAATCTTGGCAACTAATCAAGTACAACACTATTTTCTAACTTACTCGGCATGTTGGCTGTTTGGACTGAATCTCCCAGACCATCAAGGAAATCGATACTCAATTTAGGATCTGTTCCGTGGTAAACTGTGGCAGACATAGTCACCTCGATGTCAGTGGCGTGCAATGTATCTACCACATCATCGCATTTGATCACCAAAGGGCCATCGACTGCCTCAGCAATCTGGACGCTGGTAAAATCAGTTACTTCCTAAAGAACAAACGTATATGGATAACCATCTATTTAAAAGAAGATAATCTCATGAACGCAGATTGTCAACGAATTAAAACAAAGGATCAGCAATACTTATGCTCTGGAAATAAATCCTGGTCAGAGCAGAATGACCAACATGCGAGTAGTGCTGACCTCTATTGACCTGATAAACTACTTTTAATAACCAAATCTGTTCCGTGTTACACAAGTACCTACCGTTATTGTTTCAGTAGCATCTATCGCCCCAGCTTTCACTTTATATACACCGGGTAGAGCAAATTTCTTGGTGTTGTAGGTACTTAGTATATCATTATACTCTGTCCAACCGGCACCGTCTCCAAAATCCATCCTGTATTTTATACCCGCTGGGTTGTTTGATGTTGTCACCTTAATGAGAAATGTATCCATGCATGCCTTTTATTGTGATTGTAACAAAAACATACCACTAAAGAACAGGGCATATCCGATTCCAGCCAATCCAAACACAGTATTTCATATAACTGCAGTGCATTATATAACCAATTACCGCATCCAAAGTCATTCCTTATGTCGTTGTTCAAGGTGACAAATTGTCTCTACAGATTGAAATTAATGCTTTGTCAGTTTTAGCCTTGTGATAAGTTTCATTGGAAATATGTAACTCTTTTACTGATTTCGTGTCTTTTAAGTAATAAAGTAGAACATATTTTGTTTAGCTTGAAAATGATTTAAGCCCAAGATTTTTTTCAGGCGTTGTTTCTTGAAATTAACACTTGATGCTGTGCATCTCGGGAAATTTTGGCGATAAGGAATGTCTATTCCCCATTGCACTGATTCCGTGGCATAAATCCATAAATGTACACGCGTAATCGTGAATATCTAGTGGGGCGCAAATCGAGGGCTGTTGATTGCATTAACAATTATACAATGTTCATCTGTGGATGACAGTACACAATATCGATGGATGTAATGCAATTTAGATACAAGATAACACACGGATATGCATAGCCGAAATTGTATACGCGCATGTGCATACACAGTATAGGCAAAACCTTTCACAAGAACTTTTTAGAGGCTGGTACTCAAGAGGTTAATATTTCCCATTGCAAGATTTTATTCAACTTACGTTTATCGTCTCTTCTACGTGGCTCAAACCAAAATTCCCAGGAGAACTTCGCACAGAATCGGCCTGCAAATCTTCTGGAATAATCGGTACGTCGTAGACACTGACGAATCTATCATCACCACCACAGTAGTAATTAGCGTCCCCGTCACATAAAGTTTGACAGTTCGCAGCACCAGCATCGGCGAAAATCCCGGGGAGGGAGTCTGCGCAAAAACAAATGCTTCCGCGCGACAGTGCAGCTTTACTGAAACCATACCTAGTACATACTTCCATGCATACTTGTGGTGTTACTCCTGAGACTCGATCGCCTCCAGCAAATCTAAAGTGTCTGTTCTTACCGAATCCAACCTCTTCGTAACATTGCAGAAAATTAGGGCCTGAAAATGCAAAATAAATAAGGGTTATGTACTGGGAGGTTTTGGATATGGGGTTTATCCAGAGGGTTTATCCTACGGTCCCTCAAGTAGATATGCATATCTCACGAGGGATGGACCCGATATCCAAACCGACAGTACATAACTGCGTTATCCTATACCAAGTAGAATTTTCAGTGAAATTACCGGAAGCGGGAAGATATGCACCGAAGCGGGAGATATGGAGGTTCCGGATATGGGAACCTCGAAATCTGGATACGGGATATATCTTACAAACTTATCTCCCTAAAACTCTACTTGGCATGGGATAAATGTTGTTAGATTATTAAGACATGTTCGAGCATATACGAGTATATGGTGAATATCTTGCATATTTTTTTTTATCTTTCTCCTTTTTCGACCCCCTTTGGCATTTGCGCTTCTATATTCTTACACGAGGGTTGAAATGCGAAAATATAGAAAGGGGAACTTGTCTTTAAGATGCAGATATAATTTCCCTTAAATATAGGGGTCGTATTTTCTCATTTCTATCATAACTCAGTTGCTAAAAATGATTTAATATAGCTTTACGGCATCGGAGTAATACACTGTAGATACACTACCACATATGACCATTAAAACATGATGGTAAAGGAAAACCTTTTGATGATCAAAGTAAGACTTCGATACTGAACGGTCGTGTTTTCTATTGATATTATACAAACTAAAAAGGGTGGCGTGTAAAGGTAGGAATAAAAGTTTTTGACTGGGTAATTAAAGCTACAAAGGTTCTCAGATTGCAAAACGTGACAGATGAATCAAGGACTCAAATATTACATCACCCTGATGTAGCGTGTAAGGGAATATCGATGGGCTATCCTTGTAATAAATAATAATGACCAAAATGTTTCTTTTAAATCAGTTGAACGACTTGTTATACTGATAGATTCGTCAGGTATACACCATTAAATTCGGGATGTCCGTTTACTTGTTAGAGCGGACAACCCAAAACATTAACACTGGAATGACATGTTTTAATTAAAAAAGGATAACAACAAGCTTGATCGTATCTCCATGGGTTGTATTGTCGCTGATAGAGCCAAAGGTGCGTTAAATATTGCAAATAAGCAATCGCAGGAAGTTGATCGATTTTATAAAAGCATATAAGATAATTTCCACGGTTGCCATGTGAGTAACTATGTAATCAAACAATCGACAAACAGTACTAACAATGCCAAGCGGGAGAAAAGTATAGGAATTTCCAATATATTGACCATCTTTGTTTTTCAAAGAGCAATTACATTGTCAGAGTGTATATATCCTCTGTGACAATAAAGGTAATCTATATATTTGCCAATCAATCTGAAACTTGCTGTTATTGCTGACTTAGAACGTTGACTCAAACACATTTCATATTCAATTGAATTTTCGATTGCCCGACGTATAATCAAAACCGATAGACCATCACCTTCGGGTTTGCCAACTGCTTAAGTACAAAGTACATAATATTCAAGATGATGTGAATTCTAGATCATCGCAGTTTCCTGACTGGCAACGACCTGATCTCGAGAATCAATGTACAGTAGTTGCACTTGATTGAATCTTGGTTAAGGCCTTGACAAGTTTAAACAAGGCATTAACATGCAAAACGTCACCATCAACAATTTGTTACTGGCAAAGACCGCCGAACGCCTACTTCTGGCGGTGATGTAAAACTGTATAATCGGTTACATCGGCTTGGCACTTTGATCTTTGTTAGATAAAGAAGTGATTTCTGAATGAGGTCACCATTGTTTCCTTACAAGTTTCACGAGCCGATCTTGAGAATCAATTTGGTTAATTGTAGTGATTCCAGTGATTTCTGAATGAGGTCACCATTGTTTCCTAACAAGTTTCAAGAGCCGATCTCGAGAACCAATTTGGTTAATTGTACTTGAATTAATACCCATTTGGTCATACACATTTATCTATTTAATCATCAACTGAAGTGAATAAAGTGTGATATCGCGGAAAAATAATGTTTTTTTTATAGATGTGTGCTTACAGAATATAAAAATTATGTAATTGGTTCTATTGATTATACCGCTATCCGCTAAAACACTCTGCCACTAACTATATTTAATAATTCATATTTCCAATGACGGAATGGGTCAAACAATACGTGATTAGTTCACATTGTGATCACACTCCGGATTATTCAACACATAAGGGGACTCGTCTGTTCATAGGCGATTAAACAGAGTAAGGTATAAATACATCTTTCATTCAAAGGGTTTCATTAATTTTACAATTCATGGAATGGGGATAAATACCCTTAGACCAAGGATGCAAGAAATACTGAAGTGGTATTTACCCAATCGAACATGTTGGCCCCGGTGCCAAAAGGTAAACTACGAAAACAAAAAGATAGCATTATAAAATAGAACACGAAAAAGTAACAAGAAAACAACCACATTATCTAAAACAATGATATTACGCAAAAAGAATGTCGAACAACGCCCATTCCTTTGAGTAGACATGAAGCCAATACTAAATTCAACAGAATCATTTCACTTGCCTCCATGCTGACACATGATCATTACTTCAGCCGATATGTCACTTTACTGTCTGGACATATTCGATATGAGGTGAAATTTATTGTAGGTAGGCTATAGGTAACATTACTAAAGTAATATAGCATAATTTATCTCAACTTGGAATTATACAAATAAACAATATTGATCATTCAATGCGTTTGATATAGGTTTGAAATGTTGGGAAAGCAAAATGATTTACTAAATATCTAAGCACAAAGGCCAAAGGGAAAGGACTAAAAACTGTAAAGTAACCTAGTAAGAAAAACAAACTCAACGTGCAAACCTGTCATAAGAAGAATATACCCTATATATCTCAAAAACCATGATCTAACGTGAAAAGAAATAATGTCTGACACCCCCGTCCCCCTCCAATCGAGAGCCACATATTACAACAATCCAGGACCAGAACACCAAGGGACATTTCATTCATCCTGAAGTCATTACAATACATGTTAAAGAAAAATTTTACAACAAATGAATACTCAAAACATCAAAAATAGTTGTATATACCAGAACTCATAAAAGATAAAGCAATCAGTCTCAAATGATGTGGGATAGACGGAATCCAGTCTTGCGGTCCATAGGTATGATATAACAAAGATAAAACATAATAAGGCTGAATAGTACACTCAGGAATAAATTGAAAAAGAATCTATTTCGTACAATAAATATCAAAAATCAACAATCAACGGCTATGTCCGAGTGAAGAATAAAACAAAATGTCATTCAAAATATGTTACTTGGAAAGGATCAGGGGGAGCTTTGAAACCAGCGGCACGATAGTTGTTTTTCAATGTTTATAAGTGCTTTGATTCCAACACAACGGCACAGGAATAATAAATATAAATTGTTGTATTTAATTAATTAACTTCCAATGCATCATTGGTAACCCGGGGAGGCTGTCAAATAAAAATATAATTAACGTTATCTGAAAGGTGTTTTCCTGGCCAGGTACGATATACCTGAATCTTTTTATAGATGATTCAGTTTAATCCAAAAGGAAACAATGCATTTAAATATTCCCATATTTTGTCATCCTCGCTTTCACCACTATTTAATTTACAAATGGTGCTTCCGGTCAGCTTGACTGTGTTGTGACTTATAAAATAGGGAGTAATCAGAGGTGTTATAATAATTTGTCGAAATATTGTGCCAATAATAAACGTTTTCTAAATGGCATATTTCTAATTCACCTCCAAAGGACCGTCTAGATCTTATGCCAAATGCGGTAAAATACAGAATGGCATGTGTTTACCCATGCGACCACAAGTGTATTAGAAAAAGTTAAGTGAAATCATATCAGGCTATTTAACGGCTAGTAAATAGAATAAATTCCTTCGAGAATGTCCTGTAAATAGACAGGGTGTTTCGTAATGACTGTCACCAACTCCAAATCCAAATCCTTAATGTCACCTGATATATATCAAATGGAAGATAGAAAGGTAAAAGCATAGACGCCTGTCCGATAACCGGACTTTTAATTGCAATCTTGAAATAGCTTAGCATTTTTTATAACTTGTTACAGATCTCTAAAATATGCATCCATTTTAGCTTTAGCATACAATCTGAGAACCAAATTCTCTCAGAAATAAGCTGTGTACCTACCAACAACTATGATGACGATGCCTCCAAATACTATCATCTACTATTATGTACAAACTAAACCATTAAATTGGATTTAACATGATCTCGATGATACTAAGAGAATTCTAAATCATTCAACAGATTATGCAGTCGTTTTTAAATCCGTTTCAAATTGCATAAGTGTGTAGCCAGAGATCATGCGAATGTGGGTGTGATAGTGACAACTTAACATGAGTTTACAAACGATGTTCTTTATTATCAAGCATGCCGATATTCGGCCGAAGAGTCCAACATTTGATATATAGATTATGGGGCCGTATGAACGTATTTCAGTCAATCAAATCATGTAAAATTTACATATTTTAAAGCTATGAGACGCAAACAAAAGAACAAAACACATTTTTACAATAGTTATGAATATATTCGCCATCCGTAATGGTGAGTCAATATATAAATAAACACTTGCATAATTTACAACTCTGTGTAGTAATAAATATAAGCTTCTTCCATAAGAATAGGCAAAATACTCTTACCATCGGCCACAGCCTTTGTTACTTCAAAAACTCCCTGAAATAAAAAAACACATTGTTCACGAGCGGTGCATGGTTAGTTCAGCAACATTCTTGCGATTAATAATATACATAGTTGAAAATTTTAAATTGAAGGGAAGTAATGCAGTAAAACAATATTAACACTTTACTCTTAAATAATATAAAAATGGCAAAATGCTTTAAACTATACGTACCGTTAATGCTACAAGAAATAGTAACATATTTTTAAAAAGCGGCTCCATCTTCGTATGTGTTGTTAGTGCGTCGCCATTGTAGTCATTTATCTGAGATTCTCTATGCTTAACTTGATGTTGATGTCGCAATTACACCACTAATCGATCGTTGCTTTTCTAAGGTGCATAGGACTAGAATAAATTACAGATTTAATTGAAACGCTCTCATATTACTTGCGTTCGGTTTTTATCGATATGCTGACGTTTGTGACAATAGAAACTGGATGCTAAGAGCTATAGTTTGTATTATCGATGGACGGTTGTTTTTCAAAGATATATTTTGATATGATATCTACACGTATCAAAATCGAACAATATGTTTATTCCTTAATTGTGAAGGTTAAATAACACTATGAATTGTCACTTAAGTACGAGAACGGAGTACGGCGATCCCGTGAATCAAAGGCATAATAATCATTTATCCTGTAGTTCTATAGGACTAGGTAAACAAAATGTGGGCATATAATTTATATCTGATGTGAGAGGGAGATACATATATCTCCCGTTGTATCTCCCGCTCAACCCTCATCGGCGCGGCGCGAAAGTGCATTGAATGATACAGGATAACCATCGGGAAATATCCTGTATACTGAACCTCCGATTAAATAACCCTCGTATATCATAAATACATGTACTGTATCATATAATTTGCATATATCTAAATATGCAAAATTTTCACGTGAGTAAAAAGATCATTTCTATACACGTATTCATTGGTGATAAATTACAGTACTCTTCAGATAATACGTGTCAAAGTCTTTCCACCCTGATTGTACTTCATGATGTCCAGTGTTGAAAGTTTATAATATCATTGAAATCAAATCCTAGCCTTGCTTAAAGGTCAGGGTGCATGTTTGGAATTTTGCTGCAACCTTCAATAGGGTCACATGTTATTTTTCAAATTTGAATCACTCCTTTCCAACAATGTCTACATCTCTCACTTTTTGCTCAACGAGAGCACTAATGTACCTTGAAAAGAATGTAGAGAAAAATGTTTGTTAAAATGTATAAAAACAAGAAAATTCAGTGAAAAAATTCAGAAAATTTTCAGAAAATGATTTCACTGAATTTTCTCGTTTTTTACATTTTACAAAACAAATCTTATCACCTGTCGTTTCTAGGCACATAAGTGCACTCTTTGTGCAAAACTGGAAGATGTAGACAATGTGGGGAAGGAGTGATTCTTGTTTGGAAAATAACATGTGACTCAATTGAGGAATGCAGCAAAATTCCGAACATGCACCCTGGCCTTAATATGATGACGTTCACAATGAAAGGTTCACAGTAAGGCATGATATATCACCTTCTAACCAATCAGAGCACAATATGTAATATTCTACTCGTATATTTCACAACAGATGAACGGTTATTTCTAAGAATATTCTTTAAAATGTTTATTTTCATCAGTTTCATAATTTTAAGTTGACTGTTGAGTGAAAATATTTAAATATCATCATTATTAGGTGCTTATGCAGGTTGAAATGTCGACCTTCATTGCAGAAAGCTTACAAAAAGTAAAACAACCAGGTTGAATTTATATTATTTTTTAGTAATATTGTACAAACTATTTTGCTACGTATGAAAAGACTTTCAGTACATGACTCTATGCACTTGTTTTTTGTATGCTGGCCTATAAATTCGGGTTCTCGACCTCCTTTCGAAATTGTATACAAGACCACAAAACCCCCGTGTTTAAAATCGTCCACAATTCCTTGGATTAGGATTTCCAAGCGATTATCAACTGTTCATTGGGTACTTATTAAACAAAAACACAATAGATGAAGAAAATGGATACGCATCGATCATTTCTATGCGCATGCGCCTGTAATATCTGCCATTGTGATAAACAATGTCAGTATAATATATTGGAGCTAAATATAGTTTACAAGGGGTATACGATGCCAATAGCTAAGATGTTTATTACAAACGTGAGCGAAAATTACAAATAACAATTAAGATAATCAAACACCCCGCCAAAGGTTTAGCGATCCCATTCAGATAACATGTTAAGCCTGTTTATGGTTTACGATGACAAAGATTCATATGCATATTTGAAATCGAGACAAAATATTTAACAATTATAAACAGGCTTTTAGACACTACCAAATGGGAGCTGGCTGTTTAAATGAGTATCAATCCACAAGGGTACAACAGTCATACATGTTGGAATTGCTCAACCGGAACATTTCTGTATATATCATGAACTTATTTATAAATAAGTATTTCTATTTCTTATCTTTGTTTTTGGTTAGCAAAACGTGTTTCCTCTCATTTTGAACATCTAGGAAACAACTAGTTCTGGTAGACATTGCACATTTTTAAAATAAAAAGCGAGACATTGTCAGATGACCTTTAACCTTTTTAATCGGATAATGTGTTTTCTATCATGTTCCTGACTTGATATGGTTGGTAGCTCCAACCAATTTTAAGCTATTAGAACATGTAATGTCAAATTTGAAAATAATCTCGAGGATTTTTTTAGCCTACAGTGCCTAGAATTAAAATTCCAAATGGAATGTATTCATTTTATACAACTTGTCCTGGCTCCCATTGACAATAGTGAAACACGTAAATATTTAGGTAGATAATCGAGTCTCTTCAATTCTAATTTGACTTGGCGTTTGTGAAAATAGATGTAATCTTTACTAATTTTAAGTTATTCATTTAGCAATTATACGAGACACATAAAATTCTGATATCAGATATCAGAAACTTGGTGTTTCAAAACCCCTAATCGTCAGGGTTATCAACTGGTTAAAAAACAATACTAATCGAGTTCAGAGACAAGAAAACATTATTTGAGCATCTGCATAAGAAAACAAGTCTAATCACAAAAATTAAAACATTGGCCTGTATCGGCAAGGAAATGTAGTTAAGACATAAGACATAAGCCATGACTCATTTGAATGTTCTCTTTGTGCTTTAAAACATGAACAAAAAATCAAAATATTGAAAAATTCTGGGATTAGATCTCTTTCCTGTGGCCTGGCTCACTTATTGGCATTGGTTTTATCGAAGTAGAATAATCGTCAACTTTGACTGGCAACCAAGCCAATACAAATACCCGAAAATACACTATCACCAATAATCACCGTGCAAAGTTTAAAATCCGATATTGGAAAAAAAATTGCAAATGGTTTGTGTAAATGTCAAATATTAGATATTTTCCATCCGGTTCCCTTAAAATAACAATTACCCAGCATTGGTCGGAATGACGCTAATCGAATTAGAGATTCCCGATTACACAATAGAAAATCTTTTACAATACAGAACCAATATATCATAATTGATTATCAATTAACTGTTCGGTTTCATGAGACTGGAATATTGACATAATTTCTCGACACTCTAACATGAACTCGGAAATTACGAGAAGAATAAGTGTGAATGAAGTTGAACAAGTAATCAAGAGTAACCACCACAAGAAAAGAGCTAATCAACTAAGCCTTACTATAAATGTTATTATTAATTCAAAATCAATACCGTTCGACAAAAATAAGTTAAAATATACAGGTATTTATCCAAACTTTTTTTTTAAAACATACAAAAACGAATTCAGACCCTCGACCTTGACATATGTGCTCATAAAGTGAACGTAAGCTTACTACAATATGACTTTTGATGTTAAAATTGCCAATCTCTTGAAACAAAGAGAATTCAGAAAATTGCGATAACGGGTCAAACAAGAATAAAAACCTCCAGCTTTTTGTCCAACAAGTTCTATTATGAGTAAATCCCGAAAGCTGCTATTTGTTAGGCAATGCATTTTTGACGAATTTCAAACGCCTATAGTAATTCATAAACCCCATGTGAAGGCTTTCTACAGCATATCTTAACGTATTCACAAAATTATGACAGTGTAAGACTTGAGAAGTTACAATTAGAAAAAAATAATTAAAGACAACTATGTGTAAATTGAATGTGAACATTAATTCATGAGATTTGAAATGTTTAGAGGACACAAGGTGCGCGTATTACGAATGAATTTGTAAATGGCTATGTCAGTTGAAATATATTTTAAGTATATGTCTATTATAGCGGGTTTAGTCACTAGTCAGTACACGCTGAGGAAGAACAGAATACAAAATATTTTTTATATGTCTGGAAAATATAGACAGAACCTAATTTACAACCAGGCATATCTAACATTTTAAAAGTTAGACAGACAAAATAAGAATCCAAAATCCACAATGATGTCGATGGCTAAACGTAAAATCGCCAATCCAACCTATCTATGAACAAAAATATTCCAACATCAGTCTTTTAAATAAAATAAAGCTGCTTACGACCCTTATTTATGAATCATTTGTAGAATAAAACTCAATACAACTCAGAAAAATGTTTTACAAAATATTAAATGTTTTTAGATTGATAGATATTGCAGTAATTTGCAATTCGATTGTTGTTAATAAGGTGCACCTGTACTCAATATAAGCCATCCCATAGATAAATAAAAATCTACATGGTGTTTTAAACAAGTTTTCTGCAGCAGACTCAAAATAACAGCAAAATAAGTCGTCAAAGTAAATTACATTGGTAATATAATGGACTTTCGTCAATGTAACAAAAGCGAGGGACTAAATATATGAATTGCAACTTCATTAACAAAAAAAAATTCAATTCGAAGAAACTTATTTAAGCAAAACTATATTTTCTAGCTTTGTGCAAAATTATTATCTGCAACTTGACATATAAGTAGGTTTAAATCGAGAAAACAAAAAACTCGTAACCATGAAGTTCATCCAATTTGTTACATTGACGTTCCGTCAAAGTAACTAGTTGTGGAACAGTACATACATGTTTCTGACAATTTTGTTGCGACTATGACAATCTAATACTTACTCACACTTCAACGACTACTACAAAAAGTTCATATGTTTTGCGCGTTGCTACATCTGCTCCACCTACCCTACCCCTGGATTACTGTAGCAACCATATTATTAAGTGTACTAAGTTTTATGATATGAATTTTTCCCAGCGTATTCACAACATATTTGAACACACTTTGCTAAAAATCAGCTGGATTGAAAAGAAACCCAATAAAATACATCATATTTCCTAAAACATATGGAACACCCTGTAAAATCATAAAACCTTATTAAGTAAGTGAAACAATTGTAGCAAGTAATAACGGCTATGCTTTATCATCGTTTAATCCCATAGAAACGATCGTCATGGCGACACAGCTACCTTTGTAGAAACATCACAGAGTCCATGTTTAAAATGTCAATGTTAATTTAATTAAGAAACAATAAAGGATTAAAACATAAATTTACTCAAAACCTCACATGATAGAGAAATACAGAGAAAAACAAATGCACATTTCGCATTGTAGAGATATGATGCGAGCATGGTGTATACATACGAATGTAACTTTTCCCTCGGGTATAATGAATTACAACTGCGTTCGTTGAAGTTAATAAAACATAATCACGACACGTTAAAGCATGGGCTTTCAATATCTATTGAATGTCCATGGTTAAAGAAAGATTTTTGTTTGAATACGTGTTCAATATCCCTAAGAACTGATATATAAAACACGATGTCGGCAAATGCCAGTTGTGATGAAATAGTGTACATCAAATACGGTATTTGCATGTTATGCAACAGCACGAGTTTTTGTGATTATATCAAAATCAAAAATCAATGTGTCGAGGGTTTAACAAAAGGATCAATTATATTTTCATGAATATGCATTGATCTTACTGGAGCCACACAGTCATACGATGACATTTAAAGCACAAAAGGCGACGTGAAAGAACCCAATACACAAGTAAATACACAACGTTCGAAATCTCACTAGAACAGACTTAACATACTGTATATAACATATAGAAGTTATCTACCAAAGAAAACTTATATTTCCCTTAGTAGCATCTTCCATTTCTGCTGACCTTAAAAGTTCAAACTCTTTAATTGATAACTTAATTTGGAAATTGCTATGCTTTCCCTTTATCATTATTTATCAATGATATGATTCGCCTTTAAAGAAGACGATACAAGAATACAAGATGCATAAAGTTAAAAGTATCGGGCATTTTTTACGGAACCATGTAACTGTGTAACTTTGCATGTATCAGACCTTTAACGTATTGTAAAATTGCTACAGTCTTCAAAAATCACAACACATCCACCATACAGAGAGTGACCTCTTTATTTAAAATACAATTTCTGCATTTATTACAAGGTGCGTGGTATTTAAGGCCATCTATTTAATATACCTTTATTCATTTCAACAAATGCAGAATACAAATTGGCCTATGTTCGTGATGCAACAAAAACTCCCAACATCTTATGAACGTTATAGTTCATAAGATGATGTTTTCTCAGTGGACATTCGCGAAGGGATGAGGAAGCGAATGTCACCATGACCCAGTTAATGAAGTTACTTTTCAATTTGATTGAGATATATTTACTCCGTTATAAAGTATCATTAATATAAATCCCTTCAATCGCCAAAGGGTATTATAGAAATGTACAATAATATAAAACAAATACAATATGATTGTGGTAGAGGGGTTCACGCTAATGTTAATGAAGTTAACTACTGAACCGTTAAAATTGAGTAACCGGGTAAAATTAATCACAGAAAACGTAGGTATTCAATTTGGTATTACAGTTGTTAAGAATTAAACTGAGCTAAATAACATTGATAACTATTAATCAGTGACAAAGGGCATCTCCTTTATGTATTGCTTATTCTGGTGTGGCTTCTTTGTCAGCACAAGGTTACTCACCATGTTCCTTCCCAGATGGGTCAGTTGCGATAACTGGATCAGACGAGGTAGTTGTGATGGTAGCTGTAGGGACTGTTGTAATAAGCAAATCATCGAGACTACCTATTGTATGAAAAAATACATTATAATAGTCCCCACGGGAAATTTTGTCGCGAACTTTGAAATAGAGGAGTTTCTAAATAGCTTTGAAATCTCGCTAATTCTCGTTTTTACAGGAGATTTTAAGAGATTTGCACTTTTTTCCTCTAATAAATTACTTTTCTTTATTTTTGATAGCATATTTGGATTCAGTGACAAATTTTCTCTAATTATAGCTTTGATTTACACAGTTATGTCATTTAAATCATTTTCCATGACATTTTTAAAAAACTTGGGCCAAATCTCCATTGAGCTGAAATTCATTAAAACCTTGATTTATTCGTATGACAACCAATATTTTCATGTTTAATCACAATATGTACATTGACAGGGCCATCCAATAGTATTCCATTCGAGTTTTAGACAGATTCAACCAACACTTTTTGATAAATCATGAAATTAAGTCATGACTATTGCAAGTTTCTAGCATTGAAGTGAGTGGAGGTCTGGCCATAGAAAATCGAAGACAAGCAAGGGTGACATCTATTACGTAAGCATTTTCAGCTATTTAGAAACTATACAATTACATAGTGCTAATACATTAAAACCATGCCGTTGCTCACATAAAGATGTCACTAGCCATGTACATGAATCAGAATATATTCTTCACTTTGTTTTCTAGGAAGATTGACTCCAAGGGACTCAACTCGATATTTTCCAACAATGAAAATGTCAGAATGTTGATATTGCCTGACATTAGAACTGACTATGAATGCATAATAAACAGTCCAAAAGACTCGAACCAATATCTTGATCAATTCTTTTGTGTTTTGGAATTTTTTATTTGGAAATAAGACCAAAACTCGTGATTTAAATTCTGAAGTGTAATTTTGTTCAGTGTGGAAACAGTCAATTTTTTAGACAAAATGCCTTATAGCAAAATTGTCAAAATGGATGCAGAAGAATTTTTCTTGACCAAAATGTTGATGAAATTCTCGAAAATAATGAAAATGAGAATACCTAGGAGAACAAACCTGGATATTGGTGCCCTAAAATCCCCACTTGTGAAACCTCATTTGTCATAGGATAAATTAGTTAGATGATGCTTGGTTTTGAATATGGGGAATATCCATCGGGAAATATAACATCTTACCCAAGATCCTACGGGCAATCGGTAGGTTTTCTATATTTTCTTCAGGATATACCCCATATCCAAAACCTCCCATAACATAGCCCTCATATATAATGGCATAATATCAAGTTGGAACCCTGCGAGCCTATCCTCCTTGCTATGGTTTATAAGATTAACTGTCCTTTTATTTTTATACAAATCGAAAACTCTTTGAGTCGATCGAGTCAATATACATCCTCAAAAATTAGTTTGAAAAACCCGAAGTCCCATTTTAGGTGAATTATAAAAAATTGTTTATGCTTCTTGAATAAAAAAAAACATTTTAAATTGAAAAAATTATAATTTAACTTTTGTATTTTTTAAAGAAAAGGAAAGATTCCAACATCAACAGGCTCTTTTATATGCTTTGACATGCCGTCAAATGCCAAATTCATAATACTATTTTACGATACTTATAATAGCATATCATACCCGTGTAATATGATATTCCTACACATATATCAGTCTGGGCAGGAAGATCATTGGAGAAACCCCTATATTCATTTACTGCGATTGGACTCCCTCCATGTGAAGTTCGATAGGTGGCAGCACCAGCTACAGTTGCTTTTGCCGGGGCCACGTTATTCGCATTATTGTTCCAAACGGCAAGGTAGATGTCATTGGTTGTAATTTGGTAGATGTCTGCCAAATCTATTGTCATCTGAAAATGATATCAAAGAATGTAAACAATATACATTCTAACGGATCTGAACAATAAACATACAATAGAAAAAAAGAATACTAAGAGTCAACACTAATGAACAACAAAAGATAGTACGCATGCGTAACGATGTTACAATCTCTCTGGATGTAAACCTTAAGAAATATACCCTATATATACCGAAACTATGATCTAACGTGAAAGGAAATGATGTCTGACACCCTCTCACCCCCTCTATCCAATTGAGAGCCAATATGACAATCCTGGGCAAGAACACCAAGGACCATTTCATTCATACTGGAGTCATTACAATACATGTTGAAAATTGAAATAATTGTAATAGCCAATACTCAAAACATCAAAAATAGCTGTAGATACTTGTACTCATGAAGGATAAGTCTCAACCATCATTTAATTAACAGATCTTTAAATATGACAGAAAATGTCAATCCCCGAGCTCTTTTGTCTTTTGCATTGAATTTTGTTCAAGGTTTTTACACGTTCTTGATTAATCGATAAGTTCACAATGACTTTATGAAGTCGTGTGTCCATAGGAACATAACATTGCATTGATTTGACTTACATTGTAGTTTCTATTGAGAACATTCCTTGTCTGTTTAATGGCAATTATAAGTAAATTATTCGTGTAAACCATTTTTATTGCGCAATTACTTGATTTGATTCAAATTAATAGATTGATGGCTTTAACCCGCCTTTATGTAACATCCACCAGCATCCAATTCTGGTTTTCACATGAAAGCCTGGTTATTGATTATTTTCGGATGGCTATCAAATGACTTTTGAATGTTTCGCGAAAAATAAGTTCACAATGACCATGAAGTCATATTCCTGTTAAAAATACTTTTTTATTGAACAATTACTTGATTCAATTTAATGAATCAATAGACCACCATGGATTTAACCCATCTTTAAAAGAGGGTGTTGTCCAGTTCAGGTTTTCACATGAACGCCTTGTTATTTTCAGATGGCTATCAAAGGACTTTTGAATGTTTCGCGAATATGTATTATCTCTAGTCTCGACGAATGGTCGAAAATCAACGAAGAACTAACGGGTAACCATTACGAATCTGTACATAAGTTTATTAGAATCCTCACATGAATAAATAGTCTCAGATATACAAATAATTTCAACGTGTTTAGGTCTCTCAATATTGTAACTGTACAGAGATTTTGGTTGATTTTAAAAGAGTATCTTAAATGAAATAAAGGGTTTATCTTAATTTTTATTTATTTTAGGGGTTTTGATTTAATTTTTTGGATACCTTTTTTGTGAAATCAACCAAAATTTCATAAAAGGTCTAAAAATGTTGTTTATGCTATTTGTTCCAACAAGGTTTGGAAATACATTTTATTTCATTCTCAAGAATTGGTAGAAAGGAACAAAAAACAATTGCACTCAAAAACAATGACCGGGGTTTTGTAGAATGTATTCAATAATTGGTTTAAGAGAAAAACATTGTTGAATTCAGTTCGCCATATCGATACCTAGTATCCTTTTGCATATGAAATTTCAACATAGACGAGTGTCGTCCAATTTAGCAATTTGTAATGCAGACTGAATGTAGTGTCTTTATAATAATTCGCATTAAATTGTTGTCAATCAGTCAACAATTACATAAATGACCGTGGTTTATGTAGAATGTATTCAATAATTGGTTTAAGAGAAAAACATTGTTGAATTCAGTTCGCCATATCGATACCTAGTATCCTCTTGCACATGAAATTTCAACATAGACGAGTGTCGTCCAATTTAGCAATTTGTAATGCAGACTGTACGTAGTGTCCTTATAATAATTCGCATTAAATTGTTGTCAATCAGTCAACATTACATAAATGACAGTGTTTTTGTAGAATGTATTCAATAATTGGTTTAAGAGAAAAACAGTGTTGAATTCAGTTCGCCATATTTCAACATTTCAACATAGACGAGTGTCATCCAATTTAGCAATTTGGAATGCAGACTGTATGTAGTGTGTTTATAAACTCATCAGTCGGGAATATATTATGAGTTATTATAATTAGACTCCAGATGAAAATCTGGAGTCTATTGCTTTTGCCAGTTTTCTTATTATTAGACTCCAGATTGAAAATCTGGAGTCTATTGTTTTTGCCTCTTTTCTTATTCTTATTCTTATTCTTATACTGATCAAGTTTTCTCAACAACTATAAGGTATCTTTTCAAAACTATTATATGGTCAATTTAGGTATAGTATCTAGTTGGTGGGAAATAGGGTCACATTTTTATCTAGGTCAAAGGTCAAGAACTAGGTCAAATCCAGTACTTTGTCACTTTTTCCCATTATCTCGGTCGTCCTTCAATATTTTTGATCCAGGTTTTTTTCATTGTGTTCCTCATAAAAAAGGAGAAAAACGTAACGATTTAGATTTTTGATATCTCGAACCGTTTTCGAGATATCAGTGTCCGAAAACGAGGTCCAAAAAAAAGTTCTCCGAATCCAATGTCCAGGATATTGGTCTTATAGGAAATTTTCTCAGGATTCCGAATCTGAAAACCGAATTGAAATCTGACTTCCAGTTCAGGAGTTATGACGTTTTAAAATTTCGCGAAAAATCGATCTGATTGTACCCTTATAGAAAGTCAAGAAAAGTAAAAAAATTAAAAAATGCCAGTCCAGTCCATTTCCAGGTCCAAGTCAAGGTCCAGTTCAGGTCCAAGTCTAGTGTTGGTCCAGGTCCAAGTCAAGTCTAGGTCCAAATCCGGTCCAGGGTCTAGGTCAAAATCTAGGTCAAATTCAAAGTTTTTCCTTATTTTTGCGATTCTGACACTACACTTTAATTATATTCTTCGAAATTGTGTATATGTGTAGCCAAGAGTGTGCTAACAGTGTTAGCCTTTTGCCGTCAGCAAGTATTTTGACCCACTTTTGAGATATGGTGTCCGAAAAGTAGGTCAAAATAAAAAGTTCCCCAAATTTAACATATGAGTTATGAATTAAGGGTAAAATTTTCTCAAGAATCCGAATCTGCAAACCAAATTTCGATCCGACTTCCGGTTCGGAAGTTATGTCGTTTTAAAAGTTCAAAAATCGCTTAATTAGGTGCCCATGTTAAGTCAATGGGAAAAAAAGATTTTTTTGAAGTGAAAAATTCGAGATGTAGACTGAGTTCAGCTTAATTTAATGAAAGCCTTTAAAAGAAGGGGACCTCAAAAGCCATCTAGCTTCAAAATTTTGACAACAAAATGCCTAGGTCAAAATCTAGGTCAAATCAAAAGGTTTTCCTTATTTTTGCGATTCTGACACTACACTTTAATTATATTCCTCGAAATTGTGTATACATGTAGCCAAGAGTGTGCTAATAGCGTTAGCTTTTTGCCGTCAGAAAGTATTTTGACCCACTTTTGAGATATGGTGTCCGAAAAGTAGGTCAAAATAAAATGTTCTCCAAATTTAACGTATGAGTTATGAATTAAGAATCGAATTTTCTCATAAATCCGAATCTGCAAACCAAATTTCGATCCGACTTCCGGTTACGAAGTTATGCCGTGTCCAAAAAGTAGGCCAAAATAAAAATTCGCTAAATTTAACGTATGTGTTATCAATTAGGGGTAGAATTTTGTCAGGAATCCAAATCTTCAAATCAAATTTCGAAAAATCGATCTGATGTTCTATTTTGCAGGTAGAAAGTCAAGAGTAGAGAAGAAAATATTGAAAAATTCATCCATCCTTCCTATCTGATCCTATCCTATCCTTCCTATCTATCCTTCCTTCGTATCTTTTCCTTCCTATCCTATCCTATCATATCCTTTTTTTTCCTATTCTATTCTATTCTATTCTAAACTGCTTTCTTGTTCTAGCCTATTGTTCCTTCCTATTTTCTCCTATCCTACCTTCCTATTTTATTCATCCATCTTTTTCGGGATGACTCCGCTTATTCTGGATGACTCGGCTAAAAATGGTCTAAATCTGGAGTCTGAAATTGAACTTCGTTCAATTTCCAAAGTCTAGTTATTATTATTATTATTTTTTTTTTCTTATTCTTCCTCCTTACAAGATTTCTCACCAACTAGAAAAACTTACTTTAAGCTGCTTACATGATCAACTAGGGAATGTATCTGGGATTATGGGAAATTAGGTCAAATTTTTATCTAGGTCAAAGGTCAAGAACTAGGTCAAATCCAGTACTTTGTCACTTTTTCCCAATATCTCGGTCGTCCTTCAATATTTTTGATCCGGGTTTTTTTCATTGTGTTCCTCATAAAAAAGTAGAAAAGCTGACGTCGATTTAGTTTTTTGGTATCTCAAACCGATTTCGAGATATCAGTGTCCGAAAACGAGGTCCAAAAAAAAGTTCTCCGAATCCAATGTCCAGGATATCAGTCTTATAGGAAATTTTCTCAGGATTCCGAATCTGAAAATCAAATTTCGATCTGACTTCCGGTTCAGAAGTTATGGCGTTTTGAAAATTCAAAAATTGCTAAATTTGGTGCCCCATGTTAATTCAATGGGAAAAAATATTTTTTTGAAGTGTAAAATACGAGATATAGACTAAGCACAGCTAAACATAATGGAAGCCCATAAAAGAAAGGGACCTCAAGACCTTCTTTTCATAAAAATTTGGACACCAAAATGCCTAGGTCAAAATCTAGGTCAAATTCAAAGTTTTTCCTTATTTTTGCGATTCTGACACTACAGATTAATTATATTCTTCGAAATTTTGTATACATGTAGCCAAGAGTGTGCTTATAGTGTTAGCCTGTTGCCGTCAGAAAGTATTTTGACCCACTTTTGAGATATGGTGTCCGAAAAGTAGGTCAAAATAAAAATTTCTCCAAACTCAACGTATGAGTTATGAATTAAGGATAGAATTTTCTCAGAAATCCGAATCTGCAAACCAAATTTCGATCTGACTTCCCGTTCGGAAGTTATGGCGTTTTGAAATTTCGAGAAAAATCGATCTGATGGTATCCTGATAGAAAGTCAAGGAAAAAAGATTTTTTTTGAAGTGTAAAATACGAGATATAGACTGAGTACAGCTTAAGATAATGAATTCCTATAAAAGAAGGGGACCTCAAAGGCTACCTAGTTTCAATATTTGGACACCAAAATGCCTAGGTCAAAATCTAGGTCAAATTCATAGTTTTTCCTTATTTTTACGATTCTGGCACTACACTTTTAGGATTTGCTTCGAAATTTTGTATACAGGTAGAAAAGAGTGTGCTTATAGTGATAGCCTTTTGCCGTCAGAAAGTATTTTGACCCATTTTTGAGATATGGCGTCCTAAAAGTGGGTCAAAATAAAAAATCTCCAAATTTAATGTATGAGTTATGAAATAAGGGTAGAATTTTCCCAGGAATCTGAATCTGCAAACCAAATTTCAATCCGACTTTCGGTCAAAAATTCCTACTTACCTACCTACCTACATACCTACTCGGCTACCTACTTAGCTACCTACTTCTCGGCTACCTACTCAGCTACTTACTCAGCTACCTACTCAGCTGCTTACTCAGCTTCCTTCTCAGCTACCTACTCAGCTACTCACTCAATTACTTAATCATCTACTTACTCAGCTTGCTACTCAGTTACTTACTCAGCTACCTACTCAAGTAAATCAATCTGGAGTCTTAAATTGAACTTTGTTCAATTTACAAATCTAGTTAAATATTGGAATCCCATGATTGAGACGAACTAAGTATTATTCAAAGCACGATTTGTCAATTGACGCAAATAATTAATAACCAAAACAAACACGTAGGGTATAAAGATTGAGATTGACAGTCCCTTTAACAAATATACAAGAGATATGTTTCATGAAATGAAAGTGTGGAGGATTAATTTCCAAAGCTCTCTGATCTTGCCCTGTATATTAAAACCAATATCGTGAGATATACGTTATGAAGTTATGTGAAGTATAGTTTTCATTTAAATCGTATGTATCTTTTTAAAAGCGTATCTATCATCTAATGCATCATCGCTGATATTATGATAAGTTATTCAGCGGTTTCGAGATTACCATAATTCCTACGCTGTCAGGGTTATCGCGAAACGACGTGTGACTTCAGGCTGATTGACCAATCAAAACGTTTTCGGGTTTACCCGTATAAACAAAGCAAACTACCGTCTACGACCTGAAATTCAATGATCTGATCGAGTATTTCTTCAGAAGTACAATATATTATGTAATTTAATGTGCATTGGAATGCAAGCAGTCATTAATATAAATTAAATCAAGCGATCCAATGTTGATTTAAAACTGAATTCGCGATGAAAATGCACGAAGACTTTGTCCATGTAGTCGTCGATCTAGTTCAGTGATTGATCTGAATCTCGGCCTAGATCTAGCTAACATGTTCGACAATTTCAACGATCTTTTCAAAGTATCTTTTTTCTGATTGATATTTATCTGAAAAAAATATTTGTATCATGATGAACTGTGCAAGATTTGCGGGAGGATTTGTTCGTGAAAAGTGTACTTGTCTTGACCGTGCATAACAATGAGCTAACGCTGCAGGGCCGTCGTTGATTGGTCAAATTTACCGACATAAACATTGAGTCGGTAATGCACGTGGCTTTCTCATTGGTTCAAGGCGGTCATAATAGAAATCAACATAAGTTAAAGAGATCGACTTGGGCAAGGTTAGCAATTAACAATCTATCAAAATTGCGTGCCCATTTTGAGGATTTTTATTCAAATGTAGGTCGGCTTTATTACAAATACCCAATTAGCTCCTAAAAATTCGAAATTTCAAATCATTATTTTTGTCTCTCAGGATATAGATTTCTTCACATATTAGCAAATGATTATTAATTAAAATAGTGTACCCGTTTTGAGACCTCGAAAACTGAAACAGATCAAATTTCGAAAAAAGCTTTGTTTCAAAATGAGCAAATATTTATTAAAACATCATCTTCAAGTTACTAGGGGTTCATTAATGATTTTAAAATTCACACTTCAGTTGTCCTTCAAATTGTCAAAAACGCCTATAGATTGCTTGCAATCTTGATATCTTCGAATTCCAAGTGGTTATAACACCTGAAGTTGGAGCAACTAATACCTTGAGAATCAAGATTGTTATACTAAGGTGTAAATAAATGGGTATGACTACAACGTATTAAAAAGCAAATAGCAAAATAGAAACGATTTAAAAACACAACAAATCATACGCAAACTAACCCCCAATATCCAAATGCAAATCGAGATCTAGCAACATCAACTCAAACAAGTAATCAGTGTCCAACAGCCACACGCCTGTCAACTGTCAGAGACCATTATCAAAATCAAATACCACAAAATGAATGTACACAATGAACTCACCACGTGTCTCCCTGTTGACGGGGGGTTAAATGACCATTGCTTTTTTAACATGAAGTTCAGGTTTCCAGTTTCCTGCCATAGTTGAAACTTCACTGAGTAATCTTTGGCGAAGTTGCAAATAATCTCTGTAACGTAGCCTTGAGGGAGAGGTTCATAACGCAGGAACGCAGTTTGTTCAGGGACGTATGACAAAACGCTTCCGGCAACATCAGGTCCTCCCGAATAAGGATAAGCTGAAATAGAAACGGAACTGAAAGTAAAAATGACAGTGAACTCAACTAGCTGAGAGTGTTATATCAAACTATATAACTATATATATAAAGATGTGATTAATGACTGTATTACCCGGGAAAGAATGCTATTTTGATAAAATTACGTCCTTGTTTCTTCAAAGGTCTATTTTAGAAATGTCTATGTTTGGCGGTAGTATTAACATCCATTACATTCAAACCAACATAATAGCTATAGGGAGATTAGGTCAAACGTTTTTAAGAGAACCTTCACATGAGCGCGTAATATTTCAACCCCAGGGATTACTGTCCCGCTCTCTATTCACTTTGCCAGGTACATAAACCTATATTTTTTAATTGTTTATCTGTATCCTATAGATTATTGGTGTATTTGTAAGGATACATCCTGGAACGCTGACATTTCTCAACCTTCTCTATCGATTATAATTACCAACGAAGTTCAGAATTGAGGTATCCAATATGGACAACTTTGTTGTGTAACTGTGTCAAGTTCCATTATCACAATCCATAACATCACAAACCATATAACACCAGGGGATTCATTCATACAAAAGCCATTACAATATATGTTGAAAATGGATATAAATTGACCAATACTTATAACATCAAAAAATAGTTGTAGATACCAGTATTCATACAAGATAGGGCAACCAATCTAAATTGATGTGGGACAGACAAATTCGAATCTCAAAGTCCAACAAAGAATCAAAATTCATCCGCAAACTCAAGGTCAGTATTCCATAAAATACAATAGTTCACTGTGGTTATCAGGAGAACCAAGATTGAACTATTCCGACATCTCTAAGCATTTCAATTGGCAAAAAAGTTTCCTTTAAATTTCTAAACGTCATACAAAGCAATTTGCAGTGTTCATTGTAATCCATTTCCCTTTATGACTAGAAAATCATTGTTCTTTGCAATTCTTTCTAACTTTTTACCAATCGACGAAATTCTTTGGAATTTTCTCGACTTGGTCAAAGTATACACAATTTGTACCTCAACTCAGTGCATTGTGGAATGACCATTCCTTGAAGGTGTTGCTTTCCAAAATTTTGGATGCGCCAACATCGAGTGTTCATTTTAGGGAACAATGCCTGAAAGGAATGGTCATTCCACAATGCATTGAGTATTGGGCTTAAATACTGTTCACAAATTGCAAAATGTTTTAAGAAAATCATCTAAAAGATGTGAAATCACCAAATGAATTCAATGAAACCTTTTGCAAAGTATCAATTTCAATATTTTAATGGCTGTTCTGGATTGTGTTCATTCCCCCTCCCTTTTATTCATGCAGGTTTGTGCAAGCATCTGCTCTTTGAGAGAACATACAAGAGGGAGGGGAGTGAATTGAATAGCCAACTTGACAACAATACATCTTACAATTGTTGTTAGACCTTACATGAGTTATTGATTAGAACTGAATGCAGGTTACATCAAATAGCGTGTTCCGATTGGCAGGAATCGGACATACCTTGCCCAGCTAGCTATGTTTGAATAAAGCACTATGCACATTTTTTTTATTCACAGAGGGTATATGTTTTATTGTTAAGATTATGAATAAGTCGATGTTAAATGAGTTTCAAAAAGTACACAACAATGAAATTAAAACCTATAAGCGTAATTCATTAAAATCAACCACGTTTTGAATTAATTACAGAAGGTATTATGTTTCGAAATTATCCAGGGCTTTAAATGCATTTGAAACTAGAAACTCTCATCCGATGTTTGAAAATGTATTTTTTAACAATCATCCAAATATTGTTTTTTGGGGTCTTATGAAAGTTGTTTTTTCACTTTGGAAAACGTTTAGATTTAGTTAGCAGCTTTGCAGTTAGAGGTTGTCTATCACTTTGTAAGTGCCATTCTAAGGTTAACCCTTATTTTGGCCATGGACCTATTTTCCAGTTATAAAGGTAGATGGCTCATATGTTAAGATTGTATATTGTTGAAATGGATTCATATAGTTTGAAATTATTTAGTGAAACAGATGATGATGTGAAAATTACTTTTTCTATTTTAATCATTATTTGGGAGACAATAAAGGCACTTTTCGTTTCTCAATTTTTGGCAAGTTGATAAAAAGAAATGGAAAAGCTATACTTACACCCACTAACAAGTACTGCCTGAACCTAAAATTAAAGAAAAATGTGTGTTTACTATAAATTATACTGTTTGTTATCATGTATTTATATGTGCACTTTGAAGTCTATGTTGCCAAGAATTGTCATGTGAAGATGCGTTATGCTGAAGATATATATTTTCATTTTCTGAAAAAAAATGTACGATATATATTTTACTTACCACTAGGATTAACAGATGTATTCCGTTAAGGAAACGCATATCTTTGTTCTATGTGAAGAGTCCTCTTTGTCACATACTTTCTCCGGTACTCTCCGATAGTGTTATCTGCTTCGCCCGGCAGTAAGTATAACGCATGTATTGTAGATTGTTATAATGTCAATTTCTTTCCAAGAGATCTAAGACATAGACTATTTAGATGCACTTCATTTACTCCTTATGACAGACGACGTTGGGTATTGTAGTATCTCGAATTCAATTTACTGATCACTTACGTTTGGTATTTAATTTCAAATCAACTTCGATTTGATGTCTATCACTATACTTATTCCGTGTCTTTAAAATATTAAAAGTATTTGTTATTTCACTTATTTGCTGACGTTTCCCAATATTAATCCAAGACGCAAAATACAAAACCGATATTTCCAATCATTTTTACTAATGAATAATGATGTTGAATTGAGTAAAATTTTCTAGATTTTATAATAACGGAGTCGAATCGACTTTCGATGTTTTTAATAATTGTAGATGTTTAATCCTCTCAAACTGTGCATGTTGAGATTACTTATCTTTCACTTTTATAGAAATTCGTAAAGAAGTCTATAATTTTGCAATTTGCTAATTGAAAAATTATGTCCGAAGCTTTTCATATCAACACTTTGAAAATCACTTTGGAACATAGCACGATCTCTACAAAGTACATTGTGGTCTTTAATTACAATTATCATTAACTAGTAGCACATGATGGGGTTCAGTCAATACACCATTAACCCTTTCAATACAATTTAGTATGCAGGTATGTTTTGAAGAGATGTTGTGTCCAATATGGATTTAAGTTTTGGTTTAAGCATTATATATAATTACTTAATCTAATGGGAATTAATAATGGCTGTCAAACTTTTGGAATAAATTGATCCTAGGCTCGGACGAACATCAAAATATACGCTGGGAAAATCTAAATCCATGACAAAAACGTTAATTCTCTCAGGAATACAAGAACAAATAGTGGGTTTTAGCGTAAGATGTATATTCTCTATGCTGAATAAATGTAATGCTATGTATTTTTGTCAAATTAGGTTATGACACAACAATGTCCACACTCGTTATGAACACACACAATTATATTAGTATATCTATTGCATACACAGAAAAGCAACATTCTAGAAACAATACCCTAAATATACCTTACTACAGAATCAATAAACAATTAACATTTAGACAGTCAGCAAATACTCAAAACCATGGCCATACAATATACAAGTCGAGTAGTAATTGAACAATTCCAACTACCTTTAATGTATTTATTACCCTGCGCGCAGAGTCTAGTTATAAACTAGCTGTGTTTATCATTTACAATGGAAAATGAAAATGTTTCAGGCCAGAATAATATATCCACTTGGTATACATCGATACACATCTTCATTGCTCGCTTCATTCTGTTTTGAGCAAATAAATGATCTAATGATTCTAATCTTAACCATTGCTCTAATATTGGGAATGGCATAAGAACTAAACGTGTAGCCTTGCCTAAGTCTTTCTATTTTTTCTCAATGTTCATAACAAAATGTTCACATTCCTCAAAGTTCATAACAAAAATAATCTGATTATCAACTCAAGTTCATTTATTTCAGAGACTATAATTTATTATCGACGTTTCACCCTGAAACTTTCTTGAAACTTTCTGGTAGGATAACCGGTGAAACGTCAAAAATAAATTGTACCCTGAAATAAATGAGCTTGGGTTAATAATGAGATTTTAGTTGTGAAGAAATCTATCAAAGGGGAAGTTCAATATATCTTGATTCATCTGCAACAGTAGACTATTTATTCATCATCCCGTTGCAATATACCATTGGAAAGGCTAAAGATGCGGCCTGCTTTTATTGATGTTCACTAAGTAACAAAATCTGATTCATTTTAATCACCAGTCAGAATTTAAAGTTGAATGAATGAATCACAATTTTGTTAGTAAAACATTATTGTGAAGAATTCCAATGATTAGTCAGTTCTTGTGCTGTACCAATCTGCACTGCTTCTGAGATTACCCCCATTAATCATCTCCGTAGCAATACATAAAATATTGGTACGGAGGGGACAATCTCAGTAGCAATCATAGAATACAGCATATTTCCCAGGGATTATCCCCTAAGTAAACTGTATTGGCACGATAACACGATAAAAACGTCATAGATAAAAGCTCGACTTCGTCTCGTGCCAATACAGAATATATCCTAAATTGTACATTTGTACTTCAAATCATTCACTAACTTATTATATTGTAAGTTTCATAATTCCGACTCTAAAATGATACCGGAGATGATACCATGGGGTAAATAGCATATTGTTTTGACCCTGACGTTTACTCAACTATATTTATTGAATATATTAAACTTCCAGCAGCGATTAGAGTTGGTCAACCCATCTCAAGGTTTAAAGGGTCAGTGAGAGAGTACACGAGCCTTGTCTTTGTATGAACTACGAAAATGACGAGGTGTATGGCAAGGCTAATAGAAATTAAATGTAATAGACTTAGAGCTGGTCTACTTTTGTAAAAAGTCACTTTTATTCTCATAATTTTCTGTCGGTAACAGATTTCAAATGTCAATGTGGTGAAAAATTCCAAACCACCGAACACTCTTTAATCAAGTGTCCACTGCTACTTAATGAACGTGAAGTTCTTCTTGCAGGACTATTAGACTTGAACTGTTTACGTGAGTTTGAACCTTACTCAATTCAAAAGAAAACATATTTTCTATCAAATGGAGATGAAAAGGAGGAGGGAAGTTAGCGCAACAGATTTTGGACAGTCATATGTTTTATTTTGCCCATTTCCTGGGGATTTAAACAGGTGCATATGTTAGGCGAATGCATTACCTCCAGGAAAATCACCTCTAGAGATGATAAAATAATTTCGACTTTGAGACAGGGTAGATGCAAACAACCCGCCCACATGTTTTTTCTGAAATGTTTTCCTGATTTTCAACCCCTTCCATCCGTGTTTTTTAATTTTTCTTGCATCAATATGTTGCGTTTTGACACACAGTTAATCCCTTAAAAGGAATAAATGATTCCTTAAAGATAAAGTGGAAAACAATATTTCCCATGTTATTTTCCCATAGGAAAAATCATTGCTTTCAGCTAAGTTTGGTCACCCATAATGGTTATCTTTAAAAGCCCAGAAGGAATCACTTATTCATTTAAAGTGGTTACCTATGTGTCAAAATGCAACATATTGATGCAAGAAAAATTAAGCAAGTGATTTTTGTTTAAATCCTCAGAAAATGGCCAAAATCCAACATATGACTGTCCAAAATCTGTTGCGCTAATTTCCCTCCTCCTTTGAACATTGAAACAAATGAAAAACTGATTGAAATCACTGCTCACTATACTTTTCAAGCTATACAAAGTCTGGGACAGGGTAGTTTTTAATATCTGATTTTGATACCATCACTTGGTACTGGGGAACGAGCAAACCAAAAAACAACAAAAAAGAAAAGATTTTAGATTTTTTTTGATTTTTAGAAATAAATGTGAAGTATATAAAAAAATATATGAGCCATTAATTTTAAACTTTGAAATGTTAAAATACCCCATCTTGATTCACAAGATTTCAATTGTTCCTACCTAGTCTCAGTGGAAAGCGATAATGAAAATATCCCACACATATTATGTTAAAAATAGGGACAATACCCCGGGGACAATACACTAGATGCAAGTAGAAACCATCTTGATTTTATGTCAATAAATATTCATTTAGTCAAAGTGATATCATAGTAGCCTGGACAGAATTGTTCAAGGGTCACTTTTTCTTGAATAACTTTTTTAATTTTCAGTATTATCAAAATCTGATTACACATTTGAAAACTAAAGTGAAATTCTGACATTCAAAAATTATTGAAAGAACATCTCTTAATCTATTGATATTATAGGCATTCTTAGTATATGTGACGCAAATACATAATTCATCATTTTGCCTAAATTTGTTCCAAATGACGACATACTTCGTGAATTTGAATGTTCAGTTGAAAGTTAACATTCAAAGATTGTCATTACACTAAGTTTTGAAATGCCTGTAACTTTTTACCATTTGTGAGTTGAACCATCATACTTGGTAAATCAATGTAATATTTGGATAAGCTTTAAAATGATATATGACACATACTATGGAGACATTAGTTTATGTCTGCCTAGGCGGGGGGGGGGGGGCATACTTTCGGGACACCCTATACTGTACACACAATGTATGAAGTGTACCTGTATACATACAAGTCAATTCAAAACAGAAGGTTTTAAATGCAGTCATTACCACTTGGTGAAATCGATAAAATAATATATAAAACGATGTTTTATTTTCGAATATTTGTGTAAAAATATGCGTAATAATACAGTATTTCCATTCAGTATTGTAATTATTATATTATATTATGTAGGAAAAAATATAATCAGCATAATATACTATATTATATAGAGATTAATATAATATAATTAGAAATAAGTGAGATCCAAATATATAATTTGTACATATATACATTTACCAAATCCGATTATCTCAATAAGAAAATGTAGCAGGATGTTTTATTCCCCGCATAATATTCTTTTTTAGAATTATTTGCGCCAATTTATATTTATTCTGTCTTTCTAAAATATTATTTGGTCATATTTATCAATCCAAACTGATGATTGCAGTGTATTTAGATTTTTTTCTATTCTAAAAAATATTATTTTCTAATATTTTCCAATCTAAGCAGAATATATCAAATTACATTGTATTATTTGGGTTCTAAAAAATATTATACGCGACTATTCTCGTTCAACTTGATGTACAATCCATCTGGTTAATTACTTATAATAACCAAACAAAACAAAGAATGCACAGCTTGGCAGTTAATAGGATCAACCGTTCTACTGGCCTTCTCATCTCTATTACTTACACAATGTCACACATATTTCATTTTGACTGTTCTATTTCTATTTGAAAAATATTTACAAATAAATGTTTAGAAGAAAGAAATTGAACTTGTTTTAAATTAATGTAAA